CAGTCGCAAGGATGAAAGTCTAACGTGTCCAAAAATCAAAGAAAAATAAACTGTACATTTTTAAAAATAAACTTTTTTAGAAAAAATCCCGTTGAAAAGGTGTTAAGCTCCCTTTGTTAAATAAATTCGTATTTAATCGATTTATTGAAAGACGGAATTTATTTTACGTTCGTAAAATAGCTAAGTGCCTACGTTTCATGACGATGTGAAAATGGAGTGTGTAGAGTACAATCTTGCTTTCCTATAGCCCATTATGTCTCAAAATGACGCGATTTCGTCACAAAACATAAAATTAAAAAAAAAAAAAAATTCGAATTCGAATTTCGAAAAAATCGCTTCGAGGTGCATTGGCTCTTGTCTAGATGCACATATGTACCAAATTTCGTAGTCGTGGGTCTATTAGCTTACGCGCAGCGCGAACGAAAGCACACACACACAGACTCTTTCTTTTATTATATGTGGGGAAGACGCTTTTGTTTCATTTTTCATTTGAATCTGTTGCCATTTATGCAGGACTTAAAACTATTATTTTTTAAATGTTTAATCTGATTTATTTAAATAAAATTGTGTTTGATTCTTGATATATCCAATTAAAAAACATTGAATACTTTTACAGATTTTAAGAACGATATATATATATATATATTTACTTTTTAATATAATTGATTTCAATAAAAATCTGATGCGGACACTACATGACTTCCTTGTACGGCCTATTAAATTATGCAATTATGCATATTCTTTGCTCCATTTCATTTAAACTTTCCCGAATTTAATTACAGATATATTTCTCATTCCTTTAATTCCGTTCTCATTTCGCGACAAAGCAAAAATATTTAAAATCTCAAAACATTTTCATTAAAAATTGTAAAATACAGCAAAACATAAAGCACCAAATTGAGTTAAACATTAATTTTTTTCAAGAAAAATTAGACTTTAAATTACTGAAAGTCAGGTAGAAAGAGAGATTTTTCAGTCCACAAAACTTTTGGCCCCCTTTTGGCAAAAGATACTGAAGTTGGTACGGAAACTGACTTAAAATTCACTATGCTAAGTTTCAAATGTAAACAAATGGCGGCGGCGTCAGACTCAGTTTAGTTTAGTTTAGTTTAGTGACGGAGGGCGCGAGCATGGCACGCCCTCCGTCACTATGGCGGTTAATTGGTATAGCGCGGCGCCCCCCTTTGTCTAAAGCACCCCAAGATGGTATGGGGGAAGGGGCCGCACGACCCCCCCCCAGAACAGTCTCCGAGACCCAGCATATTTATTGAATGTCATGTGATAAAAATAAATAAATAAAAAAAAATAAAATAAATTTTATATTAATTTTAAAAAAATGCCAAACTAGGGCCATGGGAGATAAGTACTTTGACACAATTACTGCTTTATGTGACATACATATGCAGCATAGTATTGCATGAGACATTCAATGATACACGATATGTGATACTACGTGAAATATTACTGGATGATACTCAATGGTACCAATGACATTGGTTAAGTATAACATTTAGACTGTTGCATACTACACGATACATGAAAACTATATATAACATGAATCATGAAGACATGACTATATACTACATAGAGACTACAGACCACATACTACATAGAGGTCACAGGCTAATACTGCAAAAGGACTACATATTACATGATATAAGAGACTAAGAGATGACAATAATTAAAAAAATAATGATTTTGCACGATACAACATATTGCTGCATTATATATGGTATAAAGATATAAAGCCATGTGAAAACTAACTTTGAATGATATACATAATGCAGCATAACTTATTATGCTTGATACCATATGATGCGAATGATACTAAAAATAACATGCTGTATGACACCACGCAAGGCATAATGCAACATAGTACAGCTTATGAAGAGATAATACTAGTGAGCCTATAATACAGCATGATTCTGAATTATTCTACAGATACATTTAAACTGTATAATTACATGATTATATGATACTACATACATAGAATAACTTAGTACATGATATGTACTAAATAACAGGCGATTCCGTTGAGACTATGTTACTTTTTGATACTACTTAACATACATGAGGCATTTATTACTGCATGAAAATATACTATTACACTATACGCCGAAGAGAGTATAACCTAGTATAATACACAATAGACATATCATAGTACAACATAATACTACATAAAATAATACAATATAATATCACACAATACTAAATGATACGACACAATACCATATGATACATACAGGATACTTAAATTACCACGCATTACTTTGTGTGACAACAGGATTGTATGAACGATACCATATGTTACTACATAAAACTAATGGCATAACATTATATGACACTACATGATACATATTGGGTGTTAGAGAATACAAAAAGACATATAAATAAAAAATGTGTCTAATACAGCAGCATGATACATATTACACTCTGTTGGAATACACTGCAATAGTATAATCTTGAAATACACATTATTTACATAGAACTACCAGTACATAGGTGGGAAACAACATTGATATTGCTTTTGATGTTTGGTCGAGACATATTTCTATAAAATTTTTACACATTATAATTGCTTAAGGCTCTACGCAGTTTGACACAAGTCTGTGCCTAGCGCTGTTAGTTTAGTTATGATGGTAGTTATTTTTCGTTTGAGGTGGCGTTGTTTAACTAAAAATTTACAAAACGCTTGCCTATTGACATCAGGAATTCTGATGTGTTGTTCTCTGTTAAGGAACAGCTTGTTACATAATGGTCTGGAGACCCCGTTTCACCACAAGTGTAAATGTCTGTATTACTGGTGGAAAACCGTTCAAAATATTGTGGAAAGGGGCCGTGTCGCGAAATAAAACGAACAAGAAGTGGATTTGCAACAATTATCTCCGTATATACATATGTTATGACATAGTGCGTTCTCCTTCCTGTCTAGTTATTATCCCAGTCTTCTTCCTATTTGGCAGTAGACTTTTGTCTTAAAGTCTTTTTAAGATAGGAAGTTGGCCATGGAACACTGACGCGCGGTATATTATTGTCTGTGACTGCTTCCTCTGCTAGGCCATCAGCTAATTCATTTCCGTTAGAGTCCTATATGAGCTAGCTTTCGCTCTATATGAGCTTTGGTCGTCGGGCTTAGTGGAATTTGAACAACTTTTTAAATTGTTGATAATTCTGCTACTATTCCATGCAGATTAACTGAAGGCATAGGAACCTTACCCGGCGCATAAGAGCAATATAATTTAATCACTTTCATAGCAAAAAAATGCACTATTTGCCAATATATAAGAATAAAAAATCTTAGCTCACCGAGCCGGGTAAGAGAGTGGGACTATTTAATTACATTTAATGCGGCCGATTGCAGCCAAAAAAGGGAGGTGCACATCTACATGTTATAGCAGTCCCGTATACAAAATTTCATTGTTCTGAGGCTGCTCGTTTTTGAGTTATGCAAGATACATTCATACGAAAGTACAGACGTCACAAAAAATTTTTCTTTTGAAGCCATTTTAAATCCGTTTAACAATCTGTTTTGGGAATACGTGCAGCTGTAACACAAAAACATCATTCAAATGTTATCGAGAGTGGTCAAAATGGATATTTTCGTTCAAATACGATACGCGATATTTTTCGCGATTACAATACTTCCTTTATTTCGTAAGGAAGTGAAAATACATTTAATTCATGGTATATCTAATTAAATTAAATATTTTTACAGAATCACATGACATATTTTTTCACTTTTTAAATATACAGAAGATATGCAACATTTCCATATTAATCTAAATGCATATGCATCTAATATCGTAGAAAATGTTTCGCTATTCCACTTGAGCCATCTCTGTTGATAATCTATACTGATAAACCATATTAAACTTTAAAAGAGCCCTTTTGGGCGATCGTTAAAATTTGGAATCTTTCAGATTTTTTAAATTTTATTTTTTATTATAATTATAAATTAATTTATTGTATTTTACTGAAAACATAAAGAATACATATTAATAAATTATTATCCTTTCTCCAAAATATGTGTAATTAAAAAAAAAAACGGAGATCTTTTTTATAGGCCATTTGTATGTTATTCGCCTGAAGGCTAAGGAAAACTCCAATTCAATTTTCAATTCACAATAGCGAGATCCTAATCTCAGATTGTCACTCTCTATGAAAACGAATTATTAGAACCTTGACATGCCCATATCGCTTATAAATTTAAGATTGTCATGACCTTGACTGAAATAAGAAGTTACTGAGAATGATTATTATTTCCATCAGGCCAGTCATGAATTAGAATCGCAGAAATCCTAAAGGTAGCCGCAAGTGCTTCAATCAAAGGCATCAGATTTCAATCACTTTGCAGCAGTTTGCTTTTACAACATTGGAGAGTGTTGTAACAGCCTTAGAAGCTCCCATAACAGTGCAAATGTTTCCATTTTACATTTTTCTCAAACTTAAGTATGTAAATTTTTGAAAAACATTTCAATCCAACTAATTAAAGTCGGTTATTTAATCATAGCGCCATATTTAAAAATCGTTCACTTTTTGAGCAGTAGCTTTTGGTTTTGATTTTAAAGTGGAATTTCATCCATATTAAGTGTAGAGCAAAACTTTTGATGCAAAAGCTCATTTCTCCAAAGCAGAATCAATGGACCTAATCCTTTGCTTGAAAGCTATTCCAATAAAATGCAAGAAAAAGTGTTGACGATCAATGCATCACTTGCCGTGGCAGTATTGCAAAACCAAACTCCTTTCTCAGTTTAATAAGCTGCAAACTTGTTATTGGAAATAATGGTAATAAATTTCGAAAATTCACGGGCATAAAGCTTCTTACAGATTTGTTGAATTTATAGGAAATCTACTGAATTCAAAGTACAAATTCTATTGAAACAAAATTTTTGCCAGAATTCCATTTGCAATTTTTGCAGTGTCAAATAATTTTGCCGATATATGCAGTATACTTTTTTTCTGAAAGATTGTTAGTAAAATTTCATATTTTTCTTTTTAAGCAAAATGCTCAGGTCAGATCAACCGTCCTCCCGAATTTCTGAAAGGAACAGACATGGACAAGTTTTCTCTAAGAGAAGACACCCCAATCGGTAAGTAATTATCATTTTTATTATTAATTATAAGAATTTTCTTATAGGAGTTCAGTACAATTCTTAGTTTCCAGTAGATTTTGTGTCACAATTATTCCAACTGTAACTATTACGTTTCATTAAACATACAAACCCGGGGTGATTATAACTCTAGATTTGATGAGCGTAATATTATGTCTATGTATATTAAAATCTAGATCTGAAAGAGCTTTTTACGTAAATATTTTTAGCTCAAGATTTAAGATAGATCTAGGATTTAAATAAAGCGCTGTCTATAAAACAGAACTATCAGACTAGCATCTAAACTAATTAGCAATTAAAATGGCGGACGTCTTTCGTCACGTGGCGTTCTGCTTTCTTTGTAATTTCTTTTGTTTGGAGGCAGTGTAAAATAGCTTTGACACGTAATAGTCAGCGGACCTTAGAGATTATTTGATAACAGATAACTGCTAAACTCATTTATCGAGATTATTAATGATATAGGTGCTCGCAATTAAAGATATTTTTAACTTGAAAAATTATGTTCGGTGTTCTAGAAAAGACTGTTGCATGAAACAAAAATATATTGCTACGAATTTTATATATATGTAAATAGTTTTAGTAGTATCTTTTCATAACGTAACATGAAATTGTAGTATCTTTTGGTAAAGTAATATGAAATGCTTGAAAAAGCGAAGCTCTGTCGGAAAAATAAGGTTACAGGGACAAGTCTATTTAACATCGAGGTAAATGGCTGTCTGGCTAAACTGGCGAGATATCGCTAAGCTCGGGATGGTTTTGTCGACTAATTTTTGTCGCTAAATTTGCCGAAAAGTCACCAAAATACGAAAAACCTACTAACTGCTGGTCGTTTACTACATTAACTAACTACTAACTACTAACTGCTGGTCATTTTCTTCCTAATCATATCATATCATGGTCACAACATCATTCATCACCATTCATTGAGCTGTTCTGTAGTTAAAGTCGACTGTTTGTTAGCATATCTTTATACTGCAGATTTAAAGAAAACATATTTTATATAGAAACGCATTTTATTAAATACAGAGTCGGGTTGGATACAAAGGTGGATGAGCTATCCGTAATTCGGGAAATTTCCCAAAGCCCCGTACCTGTTATATTGTTTCGTGATATGATATCGATGGTTTAAAAAGCTGGAATTTTACTTGTGATTGTAGAATTCATAGCAAAACACGATAAACTAATAAGGAGAAAAAGACTTAATGACAGTTCAAAAAAATACTAATGGTAACCGTATAAGGTATTTCTCCCACTTCCCTAGAGTGCCTTCGTGGTGTAGTGGTTCTGCACGCTGCGCCGGTATTCCAGAGGTCCGTGGTTCGATTCCCGGCGAATGCACTTGCTAATTTTTCATCCGGCTTCCAAAATTAACCTAATGTTTCTACAAGTGGCGCCCGAACTAAAAGGGTTCTGGATGATGATTCTCCGCACCCAGGATTTGGCGACTAGGTCCCCTAAAACCCTAGTCGCCCTTTAAAAAGGGGAGTATATAAGGTATTTCTTCCACTTCCCTAGCGTGCCTTCGTGGTGTAACGGTAGCACTCTGGGCCGGTATTCCAGAGGTCCGTGGTTCGATTCCTGGCGAAGGCGGTCGCATATTTTTCTTCTCTTCTACTTCCAATTAACCTAATGACTCTACAACCGGATTAAACTCCTTAATTTCGTCCTCGTTAGCACGTCGCAAATTAATAATTGCAGGATCTAATTCTTTACTTCATTGAAAAAAGGAAGGAAGTTTCATGTCCCGCCAGCCTGACGTTTTCATAAAATGTTATTAAGCTTCCTTCACCTTTATGCAAGAAGCCGTGGTGTATCTTCGCCGTGGTGTTTCTTTACATAGGTGTCCGGGCATCTTTAACTAGTATTGGTTTTTTTCATGATACCGAACTTCATAAGATTGCTGCCATATTTATGCCGTCAGGGCACACTTGTATCTTGGTGACTGATAGCTAGATTGAAAGGTGTCGATTACTTTGTGCAGGTTGGTGACTGTTGACCAAGATTAAGACTTTCACATGGGCTTCCCAGCAGTCTTGATGAAAATTTATTTCAATTTATTTCCTCATTATACTGAACTTCTAAATGGTGCTGACGCTTTTGTGCTTTTGCGCTTTGGCAGAAGACATGTAAGGTGCCGGTACTTTTTTCAAGGTACCCGAACTGGTTAGATCAATCCCATCCGCCCCTGGCTGGATATGCGTTTTCCCCCGTCATATTAAGGTACCGCAAATTCAGTCTTCATTCTTTTCAGGTTCTCCGGTATACACCTTGCGAGCGAGGGACCCAGAAAATTCCCCCGTCAATTATTACATCAGTGGCGATACATTTTCCGTGGACAAAGACTCTGGTGTAGTCAAACTCATCCGTCAGCTGGATAGAGAAGTTGAAAATACCGTAGACGTTATCATCAGTATCACAGACGAAAGCGTAGCTGGACTACCACCTAATACGGTAAGTGGTTAATCATTTTATTGACGTAACATTGCTATTTTCTGTATAGTTTAAATGTTCTTTACAGAAAACTTGAGAAAGAAAATTTTTAAGACTTGAGATATTAATATACTTCGAGATATAAAGTGCGTGCGATTAAGATTCATAGGCTATAGCCGATCTGCATGATATAATTAACAAATATAGTAAATAATATGTCAAATAAAAATTACAATTTGTTCTTTTAATTCATCGTATTCAGTTGATAGAGTAAAAAATATTTTCTTCTATATGTTTCTTTCAGTGTTGTCTGCATAGCATTACAAAGCACCTTAAATATTTTAAATCAAACTATTACATTTGTCACTATTCCGTGTAAAAAAATTCCTTTTCGTAAAATCCATATTTAATTAAACTTGCAAGTAAATTTAGTGCACGTATATAAAAAAAATTCCTACTTCAGTAAAAATTAGACATGCTAGTCATTTGAATGTGGCGAAGGAAGATTCCAGAGCTTTCTACTGCTCTAATGAAAGCCAAAGTATTTGATTAAATTTTCGTTATTCTTGATCATCATACTGTCCAGAATTTCGCTGGATGTTTCTTAAGCGCTCCGCATCTGTGATGTTAGAACATTTTTACTTTCTTGTCCGAAATAATTGTAATTGCGAAAAGTTTCGGTTATCGTATTTCAACGAAAGCATCCGCCCACTAATCTACTTGAACGATACTCGAATCTACTTACTTTTGCAGGACATCTGTACATACGGAGAGAACAAAAGACTCTTTTTTCCCAAAACGGATTGTAAAATGGATTTAATATAGATTCAGAAAGGATTTTACGTACTTTCGTACATACGTATGTATATACACAGACACGGAAACATATGTTACACATACGTAAGGATACATACGTAAGTACGTATATGCTCCTCCCTTTTTCGTTGCAATTGGCTAAACGTATATATATATATATATATGTAATAATAAAATTCCATAGTCAAGAATACACTTAAAATTCTAACTGTATGTTTTTTTCATTTTTAATGGCGACGGTCTCTTATTTGAAAGTACGTGGAATTGAATCCACAGCCCTGTAGTCAAGTTGTTTTTCTCGCCTTTTCTACACGTACAGTTATAGAATGTTCTGGAAATATTTAAAGCGAACTGGATTGGCTGACGTCATTTCTTTGAAGCTCCGCCTTTCCACAGGCTATAAAAGGACTCGCAAAAGAATATCGGGGCTTTTCTTAAATGTCACAATGCAGTAAACTTCATACAAAAAGTTATTAGTAATTCTTTTTATTTACTCCGGTTATCTGATTTTGTAACTGCTATTTCTCCTGAAATATAATAAATGGATCCTGTTTTTTAAATTTATCGTCTGATAATTTAAGCTACGACTACATCTATGATTCTTCATTAAATCTATTTATTCCGGACAAAAGCTGGTACATCACACACACATATATATATATTACCACTGTTACTCGGCTCGGTGAGCCCAGTTTTTTGTTCTTATATGTTGGCAACTTGTGCATCTTTTGTTTTAAAAGTAACTGATTAAGTTGTTCTTATTTTCCAGGTAAGGTTTTTATGCCTTTATCTAATTTGCATGCAATAGTTGTAGAATTATCAACGAGTTTAAAAGTTTAAGTGGTTATAAACCTAACGAAGCAGCCATTTGTTTATATTCGAAACTCCTAGTAGAGTAATAATTTAAGTCAGTTTGTTCACCAACTTCAGTATCTTTTTGGCCAGTGGGACCAAAAGTTACCACTCAATTTTGGGCACCGAAGGAATTGCTTGTTTTTTGTGTAAAAATTAATTTTAATTGTAAAAATTGTTCTTTTAACTTTTTTTTGACTATATTTGTTATTTTAATTTTTTCTCTGTATTTCGCAATTTTTAATGGAGATGCTTTGAGCTTTTATGTATTTTTGCCTTGCCGCCATGTGAGAACTGAATTGATTGCATGAGAAATATATGAAATTCTAATTCGAGGTAATAAATTTAAATTAAGTGCATCGAAAAATGTGTATAATTCAATAAGCTGTACAAGAAAGTCATGCGGTGCCCACATCACATATATTTTTTTATCGGTACTAAAAATTACTTTTGAAGTCAATCTGTCTGACATTATGTTCATTCATCTGCTATTTCTTCATCATAAGCAGACGATTCTTCTTTATTTTCTGATGAAAAATAATTTTACTTTCTTCAATCTTGTTAAAACAAATTTTTCGATATCTTTCAGTGACGAACAGATCATCTGAATGACAGCAAGTATCAACTATTCGATACTAAACTTCCTTCAAATATCGTGTTCTTTAGCTAGGAATGTCAAGTGAAAATTTGTGTTGGGACTTGCGTTATTGGAATGAATTATTCAAAAAACACGTATTATTGGAAAAGAGAGATAAGCATAATTGTGTTCTTATGAATCGGATACTGCAAAAAAATGTGTGATTTACTAGTCTCTATGAAATTATGCCTTCATAGATGATTTTCTAAGGGAAATTGATTCATGATCATATTACACATGAAGAAAGCTATAAGACATTCCTGCAATCACTGCGATTGAAAACCAGTCAAATTATGTGTTTAGCAATATTATTCTCTGCACCAACTGGTGTACCAAGAGTATAAGTGGGAGGTTATGCTGGCATTATAATTCAATAAAATGTTCTTGTATATCAGTACTAAAATAGTACTGTATAAAATGCAAGACAAATTTATAAATTTACATAAACGAAAATATTCCTATATGAATTATGTAGATTTAGCAATTTAACAAAAATTTATTTCATATGCTCGACAACAGTTACACAAAGCCTATACTTTTATTTCGACACCAACGCAATTCTTTACTTTTGACCTTCTTAAACTGGGTCTCGTACTTTTACTCCTTCATCCTAGCTTGTTTTTCATGTTTCATTTATGTGGGCAAGAAGAGTCTAAAAAGTCCTAAATAATGAGGTTAGAAAATCATATTCCGAAATACAAGCAAAGAAAGTCTTAAGCGACGTTTCGAAATACCTAGGCGGAAACTAAACTCGATTTGACGTCCATTTATTTCTCTCTTTCCGGAGAATAAGCAATCATTTGAATATCTGAGATGAACTGAGACTGATGTAATCAATTTGAATTGTAAATCAAGATAAACCGGTCTGATTTGCAGCCTTCTCGTTGCCGCTTCAGTAGATTACAAAAATAAGCTAAAATTGGCTAAAGTGCAACACATCAATGTTTTTAATCAATTTAAGTCATTTTGGCATTGGATTGTCTGAAGTTTAAGACCAAAGAAAATTTAGTTATTTAGAAACAATTTGTATCATGTTACAAACAATTTGTATCATGTTACAAATTTTCGTTAGTAAAATTTTCAAGTAACAATACGCAATGCATTTTTATTTCTTTTTAATCTACACATTCCCTTCTTATGATGCTTTCACGAATGAGATTTTAAATTAATTTCTAAGAGAAGTAGAACGCGTATAAATTATTTATGAAGTATCGCTGAAAGATGTGTATTTGTTTTTATAATCATGAAGGTTTTTTTTTCTGTTGAATAATGTCGTTCCTTTGTAAAAACGTGCTTTATTCAGTGAGATCTTATTCAAAGAGGATGAGCAGATAACGCTACAATGATCAGCATCATTCAGCAATACACGCAGTCTTCTATTCTGTCTGTGTCCACAGGGAAATGCGCTATGATATCGGTATTTAATTCAGCCCAAAACAATGTATTTAGGCATACTGTCGAACTGTAAAACTGTCATATTGCATGCTGACTTGCTGTTTTACTGTAGTCTTACTCAGATTGCTTACTGTGCAGTGACTGGATTTGTTTGTTTTGGATTAAGGCAAAACATTTTGCGAGGTTTGCCTATCTAGGGAAAGGAGTGTATTGACTGAGGATTTCCTAGAGAAGCTGCTTCACATTCCCGTTACATATGGGGAAAACAGTAGAAAATGCCCATCCATTCACTGAGATTAATAATGCAATGAAGGCACTTTTGAAAAATTCTGAAGCTGTTCCCGCCCTTATTTTCTTCATATAACGCACAGTTATAAGATAATAATAATAATTATCTTACGTGCTCCGCTTTTAGGCACTATACGTGTTTACCTCCGCATTAGGCGGGGATCAGCTTGATCAAAATCTTCTGCACGAGCGGCGGACATTTAAAACTGAACTCTGTCAGAATACTCAACGTTAAACTAGCTTCGAAGGCTCGAAGACCACGAAAGATGCGTAGCATATTCAAAGTGTGGCCATACCGCAGCCCACTCGGGTGTCCTTTGCCACAACCCTCCGGGATAGCATAGTTGTTTTACCTTTCATATCGTTCCAGATATAACGAATCAGAGGATGTAAAATACTATTGAAAAGTTAAGGAAGCAGGAAGCGTGGCTAATTCAGTCCGAAGAGTTTTCCCATCGGAACAACAAGTTAGGAGGCTCCTGAACTCTCGACTAGAGAGACCTAAAGGTCTCCTGAACTCTGGAATAGAGAGATCTAGAACTCTCTTGAACTCTCAGCTAGAGAGACCCTCGTTAGCAGACTCCTTACGTCACGAGAACAATAACTCACTTCAATAAATATTCTATGCTATCCATGAATTATATATATATAAAATATAAAAAATACGATGACTTTGCTCTACGCGAACAGGCAACCTCTAATTGCGTTTCCACAATTTCAGAATCTTCTCCGAAGACCAGTACTTTCGAGAACATTTTGGCATGTTACGTAATCGCTGCTATAAATGAAGAGTTCGCGCCATTTTTCGTCAGACTGCTCCCTGCCATCGCTGACATAAGACCTTGCCCTGCTCTGTCGCTTCTTCTTCCCTTTGTTAGAATAGTTATGACGTCGAAAGCTAAAATTTAACCTTATCTTAATTTAAATCATTATTGGAATGTAGTTTTTTTTAGAAATTGAAAGAATATTGGCCTGCCATTTTTAAGTAAATAAAGATATGGAGTTTTAAAATTTAAATTTGTTTGTGTCTTCAATTCGGTTGCCGTCTCACTCCGCGACGACCACACCCGGACTCTGATGTGACCCGATTGCTAAGCTTCATCATTTCCAATGCCGATCTACTGCAAATATTACACATATAAAGAGCTTCTATTAATTGTAATAAATATGTTTTGAGTTTGTAGTGCAGTAAGTATTAGGCAACCCCACAAATGCACTAATAAGGAGTCAGATGAGTTACCTGCCGCCACTCAACACAGTGGTAACCCACTGTCAGTATAATACAAAGTCAACATACACGACCTGGGGGTACAGTTAAAAGATAACTGTAATCTTTTAAATTGTCATCAGTATTGAACCACTATCCATTTTCTAGAATTATTCTCTCCGTATGAGATGGCTTCAAATAAATCAAATCTATCAATAAATCTACTGCTTTAACTCATATCTAGAATAGGTCATGTTGTAGAGACATTAGGTTATTTCGAAGCAAGAGAGATTGAAAAATGAGCAACACCTTCGCCGGGAATCGAACCACGGACCTGTGGAATACGCGCCCAGCATGCAGAGCACTACACCACGAATGCACGCTAAGAAGGCGGGAGAAATACCTTATATACTCGCCTTTTAAAGGGCGACTGGGGTTTCAGGGGATCCAATCGCCGAATCCTGGGTGTGGAGAATCATCATCCACCATCCTTTTAGTTCGGGCGCCACTGTAGAGATATTAGGAATTCTTTTTGAAGCAGGAGACATGAAAAACGAGCAACGCCTTCGCCGGGAATCAAACCGCGGACCTCTGGAATACGCGCCCAGCATGCAGACCACTGTACCACGAAGGCACGCTAAGAAGGCGGGAGAAATACCTTATAATGTAATAATTTAGGCTTATTTGCTGACGTTTTATTTAATGAATTTAATAAATATTTAGTTTGTGGAAGAGGTGTTGGAAGGGACTGTATTCTTCTGCACTGGATTAAATATTTTTGAGAGGACTCTGCGACTCACAGTCCTTTACAGTTCCTGATTCATCTAAGCCACGTCTTATGCCATTTATCTGTGCAAAGATCGTTATCTTTTCAGCACAATTTAAAATACTCATTTTGTGACTATGGTGTACTTACGTAGATTTCGTCTAACAAATTTAAGTGCCTAAGTGTTGTTAGACTAAGGGGTTTCGAGATGGTAAAATTCGCGGCAGGTTTTATACCGCGCTGAACGTTTTTTAGTGAATTATGTTATTTAGAGTATAATTTCACAGACTTATCTAGCCCTTATTTAATGTAAATTGTAGTCCCTGCATAAAGAAGAACTCCATGAAATCTTCGAAAAATAAAGCGCTTGAATTATTATTAATAAGTAACCTTTACCCAACAGCTGTAACAAGCGGGATGGGGGGGGGAGTAAGCGCACAGGACGGCAAAGTGTTTAGAATTTAAAGACAGATGGAGCAACAAAATTTAGGATGACGGAAGAGAATTTAGGATGAACAATTTAGAATTTGGCGGAGACACCAGAATTTTGGAGCCGCAGATATTGGAACGGATAGCAAAATGCCTACACCAAACCCGAGACTAACAAATATGAAGCATTTTCGCCTGTGCCTGTTAGTTCCAAAGTTCAGAGCACTTTAAAGCGACTTAAAAATCCACCCGTTCGACTCAAAACTTGCATTAACGACACACCTAGTGACCTTTGCTAAACAGCCCACATTTCTTCGAATCATTCGCCGACAAAACATGAAAATCTACTTTATGTAGAAAACACAAACTTCAAGGCATTACAAATCTTATTTTCGAAAATTTATCCCACGTCATTTTAAGGTCATTATACACTTTCTTTTTAAGGGTGGGGTTCAAAATTCGCTTTGAGTTCACCTCTCGTGTTTGCCTACACAGGTACACTAGAAAGATCTCAGATCATTTTAATCGACAATCTAGCGGAAACTTTATAATGTGATAAATATATACAAGCTAATAAGCTTGTATATATTTACCAAATGTATACCAATCTTCTAATAGATTTGGTTTTGTTTTTGATAAAAGTAATCCAACTGTTCATGTGTTTGATATTTATACAGATGGTTCTGGGGTCGGAGGGAGCGTAGGAGCTGCCTTTGTTGTTTTTTTATTATGGAACTGAGGTGGATTATAGAATGTTTAAGTTGAACATATATAATTCAGTTTTCCAGGCAGAAAGTGAAGCGTTCAAACAAGCCTTATTATGGATTGAAAATACCTTGTTTATACCCACGTCTGTAAATATTTACACTGACTGCCTGTCACTTCTCCATGCGCTTTCCAGCCCAGACAATTTCAATCCATTAATTGTCGAAATTAAGTGTCATTTAGAAACTTTGAGTTCATATTTAAATATTAAGCTACATTGGGTTAAAGCCTATATATGATTTATTGGTAATGAGAGGGCCGACAGTCTGGCCAAGCAGGCGGTTTCAAATGTCAGTGCAATGGATATTGAAGTAACAGGTTCGAAGAGAATTGAAATTCAAAGAATGAAAAAATTTTACGTTAACAAATGGAAAATACAGTGGTTCTCTTCACCTAAAAACAAAGGATTTATGGAACTAATTAAAATCACAAATAAAATGAAATGTATAAACAATATTGATGTTAATCAGGTTTTAACTGGACATGGTAGGTTTCCGTCCTATTTCAACCGATTTAATCTGCAGTAAAATAAATTGTGTAATAGTTGTCAGGTTGATGGTGATGCTAGGCATTTCGTGGTTGATTGTAGTTTAACAGCCCCTATTAGACAGACTTTTAACGTTACTGGTTTTAATGTAAGTGTCATTAATTTTAAAGTTTTTAAATCATATTCTATTGCTTATCAATCATATTCTATTGTCTTCTAATCTTTCGGCTTCTTTGAGCGATTAAAACAATGCTTATTAATTTTATAGCTCACATACATTTGTTATTTCTTATGAACTTTTATCTTTGTTCTTAATAATCTATTTAACTGATATATTTCATCATGCAGGCTTAAATGATAATTTTTATAAGTTTTTATATTATCAGCGCTATTATTTAAAGACTTCTCAAATGCCATATATCTATCTATATATGTAACAATAGATTACTGCAATATACTACCGGCTGTTACGAACTATGTAAATATCTTGATGATTAGAAGCTGCATAAATACAGAAGATGACATTCATAAATATGTAAGGTGATATTCACGGGGCTGAAGAGTGAATTGACAAGTTTCAAATTTTGTCCAAACGATGACATTTGGATTTTTACTTTAAATATTAGCTGGTGATAATTAATGGGTTCCGTACAAAAACGACAAGCGACTTCTGACTGTTTATGGTTCAGGCGAACATATAGTATAAACTGCAAAACAAAGTTCATATACGTAAAAGGTTCTGCCAAACCTTTGGTTAGATTTCAGTGAAGTGATTTGTTATTTGCTTCTACTTTCGAAATCAGGTATTAAATGTATTAAAGTAGGGAGCTATACCGTTGGATCGTCATTACGACACTCTGAGTAAAGGTATTTCTCCCGCCTTCGTGGTATGGTGGTTTGCACCCTGGGCGCGTATTCCAGAGGCCCGTGGTTCGATTCCCGGTGAAGGCGTTGCTCATTTCACTTCTTGTCTGCTTCCAAAAATATCTAATGTCTCTACAGTGGCCCCCGAACTAAAAGGGTTATGGATGATGATTCTCCACACCCAGGATTTGGCGACTGGGTCCCCTAAAAAACCCCAGTTACCCTTCAAAAGGCATGCCTTCGTAGTGTGGTGGTCTGCACGCTGGGCGCGTATTCCAGAGGTCCGTGGTTCGATTCCCGGAGGAGTCGTTGCTCATTTCACATCTTGCCTGCTTCCAAAAATACCTAGAGTCTCTACAAAGCGCCCGTCCTTGGTGAATCGTCAGGAAGGTTTATTTGTTTATTTATGGGAAGTAGCGCTCCAACCTGACCATAAGTGGTTCTATGGCATAATTAAGCTGTCCCAGCTAGCAAGTAGAATTCTCACAGATGATCGATTGTTGTTGATATAATTCATAATCGTTCTTGGTAAACTTCTTGCCTTGTCAAAATTTGATAAAATCCACTCCACGTTAAGTGTTCCATTTATGGTAAAATCCTTCCTTATATCTTTTAAAACTGGGCAAGTCTCCACGAAGTATTTAGCAGTTTTCATTGCAGTTGCCGCAGAAGTCTTGGTTATCTGATCGCGATATCGCAAGATCCCACATATTTATTCCAATTGAGAAGAAATATATGTATTTGGTTGCGAGCTGGGATCACATCCTCGTATTTACTGGATATTGCTGCAGTGGAAACGAAAATGTTTAGAAGAACATAGAGTACTTTATATATGTAATAGAATGTATTTGTTCGAGTCAGAAAGAGTAGAATGGAAATGTAGACAGTTTTGGGTGTAGGCTATGAAACTTCTTAACGACAGGGCTATTCTACAGGAGAGATTGAGTTTCGAGAGATGAAGTTTTCCAATAGAATGCAACATTTTGCAGACGAAAACAAAGAATATAGTTTGATACAATATAACGATATTCTTTCGTTGAAAAACACGAGATCTTTTGTACATGCGAAGTATTTTCGGAACATTCTTTTTATGAATATAAGAAAAAAAAGTTCAGTTTCATTGCAATGTCTTAATATGTAAGCTGAAATAAACTTGAAGAAGTAACACTTTACTGTTTTCGTGAATAATTTCTTCATTTAAAATATTTTATTATATTGTAATCGTTTTCTGTTTCAGATATCCATTAAAAGAGAGATCACGATATTAGACCAAAATGACAATCCGCCAAAGTTCCAGAACGTGCCTTATTCATTTTCTGTAGAAGAAGTAAGTTGAATTTTTCCTTCGAAGTAAGCTTCTTGTATTGCGCTTTTGTTTAGTTTTCGTTTGGGAAAAAAAATACAGATTGCATTTCATACGGCAACAGCATACAAATAGAAATTACTTGATTATAGATAATCTCTTTTTTTTTTTAAATTTTACTGTAGACAATGCCAATAGGAGCTGTCGTCTTTAAGGACATCATCGTTACAGACGCTGACATCGGTGCCAATGCTGAAATAAAACTCTCATGCCAGAGCGAAGTAGTACGTTTCAGTTTTGTACAGTAACAGTTTCAGTTTTGTACAGTAACAGTTTCAGTTTTGTACAGTGTAGGTAACAATTTCATATTTATCGTTCGACACTTTATATATAAGAATGGTTTTATTTTTCAGACCCCAAACGCCTGCCAAAAATTTGAAATTCGTGGTACTATTATCACCAGTGGCCGAGTTCGAGGAGAGATAATCTTGTTGGAGCTTCTAGATTATGAAGAACAAAGTTCTTACACTATGTCCATTGTTGCTGAGGTAAAGATGTGAAATGTTTCATAGATTTCTAACTATGCGGACTAAACTGTAATCTACAGAGGCTGCTCCCGCATTTTTTAGACGATTTTGATTGTAATGACAAAAATATTTTACCTAAAACTTTTGTGTTTTAAATTTTATGTTTGATAATCCGTATTCTTAGCTATCTTTCTGAATCATCATTTCCAAGACAATAAAACGTTTTGTAGTATCGCAACAAGTATTTTATTCCATTCTTCTTCAACGGCTTTCCGAAGTCAAAGGATGGTTGTAGGTCCACGTTTGGACAGTCCGCTTTAATAAAGTCCAAAAGCGTAAAAATGCATGGTTGATACATCAGGAGATTTAGTAGGAATATGAGTGAAGGGTATGGCCTTGATACCCATTTCTTGTACCATTTTTTTCCAGGAAATTAACAGTCGATTTCAGTGTGTGGCTGCATGCTTTCTCTTGTTCAATGCAGTTTTACTGATGGATGGCACTGTGGGCAAAAAGAAGGTATTTCATATTTGAAAATTGGGTATAAAATATGTTCCTGATAATATGTGGAGTTGATCTTAGCATTTTTCTCCGCTGTCCTTATTTTTAATGAAAAAAACCAGCAATAATTCTGGAATCCTTTGGAAAACTCCCTTTAGATTCTTTGAACCATGTTTTAAGTATTTTTTTCCCCTCTTTGAAATAAATGGATCTCTTTTTATTGCAATCATTTAAATGTACTTAAGGTTCATCTATTAAGACATCATTTTTGCGTTTTTGTCCTGATAAATGTTTCTTATAAAGAATTCTGCTTTCTACGTTCGAAAATATGTTGTGGAGAAAGATGATGCACGCCTTTTCGCCTTTTTAAGATTCTAATGTAATCTACAGATCACTTTGTTCACAGTTCACCCTGAGCATTTTAATGAGTTTACAGCTTTTCTTTGACTTGGTGGATTTTTTTTAAATCTAAATATTACCTTTGCAAGATCTGAAACAACCTTTTTTCCTTCTTAGATATGTATTTTGAAAAATTTTTCCACTTGAATCCAAACTTTGATGTTTTTTTTTTCCTTTCTTGTTGACAATATTACCTATCGTAGCCTTAGGTATCGAAAAACCCATGGCTTTTACAGTGTTTTTTAATAACTAGATAGGAATAATTATCTTCGAAAAGAACACAAGCATAGCCTTCCATTCACTGCTTCTTTAAAAGCGCCATTTTGCATGAAAACAAAACTCTCAAGTAGCGGATGATAATTTATGCTTTTAAAAATATAGTTGCAGTTAAGAAAAATTCTAAGTAGACGACTTTTTTATAGCACCGCAAAATCGACAAAAAATGTGCGAACAGCCTTTGCATTGTAATACCATAGAAAAAAGACATTTTGATTATGATATGCATCCTGAACTGATATTTTAAATTTATTTGCATGATAACGTATCATTGAGCAGAATAAAAGATTTCATGATATGTCTTCAAATGCAGCTAAACTATAAACACTTCAAGTAAGCTTGGACGTATTTAAAATTTTATCTGTATTATACGAGGTTGTTTATAACAATCAATTTGATTTCAAATGATTTAATATTTGAAATTTCAGAACACACTGACAGCTGCTTGAAATGAATAATAAAAAAAAAAGTTGTTTCCATTTCACTTAATAGACCTTCTGTCATTACTTAAATAATGTCAGAATATAATTAAATCCACACATTTTTGGCATATACTTTGTGACTTCCTCTTCAGAAATAACAGTGCGATTTTGGTATCACGTAGATTTATGAATTAAGATGATCTGAAGTACACAACTTGTTTTTCCAATTGAAAATGTTGCAAAGCGTTAAAATACAGTGATTTACTAGGAGGCCAACTGTCGAACATCAAATCTAAACCAGCTAAGGAAATGGGATGGCAGCCTCCAAGGGAGCGCACGAATAAGAAAAATTATTATTTTACATATAAACCTCCTGGAATATTGAGATTTCATTTGTCATTTAATGTATATCCCATTATTATTCTTGTGAGATAAAGGTCAGCACAAGTCCCACAGTATTCATCTTGGAAAGAAGTCACATGCGCTTGTCCTTGGCAGCCTTGAGCACCATATAGGCGACTGACTGACTGATTCTGCGAGGAAGCATCTGGGGGGAGGGCGGTTCCGAGTATTTCCCACCTCTCTTTCCCTACCATAACTTCTCGAGATGACTTTTGGCTCGCCGCATATTCAGAGTGCTGTCATGCCGCACAGACATTATACATTTACAAACATTATCGGGATTCGAACCCGGGCCGTTCGGTACGGCAGTCAGAGTCACTAACCACTGTTTCGTTCGTATTCATATATAAATAGGAAGGGCAAAATTATGTTCATCGACAAATGGGTTAATCATTTTGATTAACTCTTCAAATAATTCAAATGTTAAAAGTTGAGACTCTTAACTTCTGATCGATGAATACAGCGGAAGCACTTTATTTAGAAAATTTGATGTTATAAATAAAAACTTTTGTAAAAATAAAAATAGAAAGACTTCTATTTTATTTTACATATGAGAAACTGTACAGAATTAAGTCGATATAGATTCGGATAAGTGACTTTGAATATCCTGTACATTAGGGTTTCTCAAGTATAGCATATGCACCACTAATATATTGCAATATTTTTTATGGTAGAAATTTTACATAAAATATTTACACGAGTCTTCAAAATTAATGCAAAATGCTCATTTGGTACATATATTGGTATATGATGTACCAAATGAGCATTTTGCATACAGGGTGTACCGTAAAACATTCAAGCTGTCGTACACCATTTGGATTCATGTCCAATTTTTTTTAAAAATTAATCACTCTTGTTTCTTTTCCCATCTTCTATTTCTGCTACTACTTACTCCTGACATTTTCGGGCATGGGTTCCTATGCAAATCGTAATCCTTATGAGTGCCCTACCTTCCCTAGAAGATTATCGCAACATTTACGGTACACCCTGTATATATATATATATATATGTACAGGGTTATTCAAAAGAAAGAGCAGATTGCAAACATGTATTTCTTCCAAACTACAAAAGATAGAAACATGGTTCTAACATTAATGGATAGAGAAAAGTGTACAATTTAGTACGGGTCAAAATTCCAATCATGGCCGCATTGGCGCTGTTGTTTGTTCTGGTATTATTCGTCGGTTGATAGTGAAATGGCGGCGACACCACAGCAGAAGCCTTTTTGTGTTCTACGGTTGGGCAAAACTAGAGTCTATTGTTGCAGTTCAGCAAGCATTTCGCCGTCAATTTAATAAACAACCACCGCGTCATAAGCAAATTTACGAGTGGCATCGAAAATTTGTAGAAGATGGTTGCATCCTTTGAATAACCCTGTATTTTATTCTTATTTATACGGTACAAAATTTTAAAGGTTTGAGAATCCCTGTAAATTCTTAACGTGAGTGTTTGTAAAGAGTATTTAAAAAAGTTAGCATTTCATTATGTTCTTGCTATACTGCTTTGGTCAGACATTATTTACAAATAATAATCTTCACTTATTGCTTCTGTTATTACTCACATATTCAATCTATGTATAATATCATGAAAAACTAAATTTTTCTCTTAATAGAATTTAAAGTTAAATCTAAGTCATAAAAAGAGTAAAGGTAGAAATAAACTTGACACTTTTATTAACAAAAATACCAAAACTTAAAAAAACTTTTGCTAGTACCTAAAATATGAAAAGAAACATTTCCAGCACCCAATGTTCTTTCCGTTGCACGTATTAAAAAAAGTGTATTTTAAAATCAGAAATAAATTTGCAATCCTGATACACATCTAAAATGTGTTTAATAGTCCGGTATATTACTCTTATCAAGGATGCTAACAATTTTCAATCAACAGTGCTCAAAGATTTATTTCACAGAAGAGACATTTATTAATACTATTAAAAATCTCTGCATATCTGTTTATTAGTTTGTTTATTTGTAACATCATCTTCTCTGGAACAGCGGCGAGTTGAGTTTCGAAACAAATAACTCCGGATTTCAAAAATTCGTGGGAAGTCATTTCGACTATTCTCATCTTCTTATGCCTTTAAACAGCCGCGGTATTAATTAAAAACTCTGAAAACGTTAATTTTCGCATTCTAAAACGCAAGTTGCGTTTTCCTCGAACTTCACTGTCGCTCGAAGTCTTACGTCGAAGCAGTGTAATTTTAAAATTGCTAACCGTCTTTCTAAGCAGAGGTAGAATAAAACGCGTACCCTCTATTCTTCCGTCACTTTTTCTCTGCCTTTTTACCTTTTTGGGATTATTATTTATGAAGTTTTCTTAAAAATTATGGATTTTAAAAATATTTTTCTGTTTTTCATTTAAATATGAAATATTTCCACCAATTTGACATAAAATTTTTTTTAGGTACATATAGAACTGCTTTTATTCATACTGAAATGTTTTTATACATTTTCTTTCCAGGTGTGTGTAGAACTTATAAATTTTGCTTTGACCGCGGTCTGCTATTGTAAATTTATTTTTCATCAAATCCAGTCAATGGAAATTTAAGCTAAACTTCATTCATTGCAAAATTCGGCAAGCTATAATCAGATCTGTGGACTTTAATCCTCAGTGAAATACCTGGAAAATTACCTGAAGTTTCTAATATCATTTTCATCGTTCGAAAATTTGGATATAAACAGATCAACCCGTGCGCATTTATCTCTTATGCCTACAAACGTCGATTCTTCAATCCGATTTGTATTTTTCCGATAAGGTTTTTTCAAAATAAGTGAATTAAAGCAGTAATTGGATGGGCATATTAATTAAATTATTAATCGGTTAATTAAAAGTAAAATAAACCATAAACGTTTTGTTAAAATTTATGTAATTCGCATTAGAAGCAAAAATGAAATTAGAGCGTGATTTACTTTCTCGGAATTAGCCATGTGTTAAAATATCTGTAAACACAGTGCTACTATAAAAGATTCATTTTCAAAACGCTATATATTCAAAAGTATTATACTTACCAATGTGAGTAATATATGAAAATAACTGCAAACTCAAATCTCGTTTCGCACATTTTGTAGCGTTATCTTGTCACTGATCATCACTGTAGCATTGAATATTCCCCTGAGCTCTTCTAATGTTTTCAATAGAGGGGGAATACATAAACAAGGTCTTTAATATGTCGCCAAAGGAAGAAATCACAAAGCGTGAAATCATAGATTGTGAAATCATTGTGAGATCTAGTATGTTTTGCAATCCTAAAATGGTAACTAGATCTGCTTAAGGTTTGTACCTCGCGAATTCCCGCACAGGCGTTAAGATGAACACAACAGGGAAAGGGTGTAAAATGCCCTTTTAATTATCACAAACTGTTTAACAGAAGGCATGAACTTACGTGCTTACATAACAACACCGACCACTTTCGGTGTGAACTTAAATGATAATGTAACAATGAATTTAAAAGGTAAAGATACAATGCTAGACTACACAATTCAATTTAATCTAACAGGCTGACTCAGAAACCTACGCCGGCCATATACTAACTATCCGGCTAGAATGCGTAGCCGCTACTAAGATTAACGGATAGAGAACAAAATAGCAAATGTGCATTTTCACTAAGGTAATCACGCTCGGTCTAACCTCTTCGTTCGAATGTTTTTAAATACTCTTGTTCACATACTTCATGCCACCCAACCGGCATAGTGGTTAGCGTCGCTGACTGTCCTTAGGAAGGGCTCGGGTTCGAATCTCGGAGAAGACATGGATATTTGTAAATGTATAGTGTCCGTGCGGCATGGGAGCACTCTAAATATACGACGAGCCGAAAGTTCTTTCGAAAGGTTCGTCGCAGAGAACGAGGGGTAGGAGACCTTCGAACCCGCCCGCCGTCAAAATTGTCTGCGGAACTTAGCTAAATCGCACTGTCACCTGTAAGGTGCTCAAGACTGTTGCCAACGGCAGACATAAACTCGCGCTCCTTGCCACGAGGAATTTAATGGGCTTGGGCTGACTACAGGTCAGACAAGTAAGCATTAGCAACAAAAACAATAACAACGTACTTCATTTACATCCTGGCGAGGGGAAATAAGAGAATTCCAGAAAAGCTTACAAATTAAAATAATTCTTAGTAAAACTAAATAGGACCCTTCAAGGAGACGTAGGTGACTAAGGCAAAAAAAACGAGGACATCCTCACCCATACACGATGTGGAAGTTCATCGTTCAGGTATCGACGAAATTCAATGTTCCATTGAGGGGGTGCAGCATATCCAGATAATGTTAGAGAGAACCAGATACCTTCAAACCGCATAGTCACAGTCTTGTACACGTTTTTAACCGTTTCAGTCGCAGTTGTGGTACACAAATGTGTGTTTGTGATTATTTTCAAATATCACTCATATTTGTACGTGTAATACTTTTGAATATATAGCGTTTTGAAACTGAATGAATCTTTTGTAGTAGTCCTGTATAATATCAAGCAAGATGACACAGTTTAATATCAACTAATTGATATCATTAACTATTAGAGTTGCATGAAATGAAATAAAGTATAACTTGCTTATTTTCTCTTCTTTTAGGATTTAGCGGAAACAGGAAGTTTAAAATCAACTACTAATGTAATAATTGATATTAAAGATGTTCAAGATCAACCACCTGTCTTCCAAAATGCACCTTTCACCGCTACAGTTATGGAGAACAGCATCCAGGTAAAGTAGATATTAATTTAAGGAAATTATCTTTTTAATACAAAATAGGATAACAATGTAAAATCGTTGTTAATTATTCTTGACTAGTCGCAGTATACTATCTTATATTAAAAAACGGGGAAGAGAAAAGATGTGTCTGGAGTGGACGCACTGAGTTGATCAATGTTTATTAATGTTTAATCATTTTTAACAATGTTTTTACAATGTGTATAGTGAAGTTTTTGATTAATTTAAAGAGCTGAATTGCTTTGTTAATTTAACTGCTCATTGGAGCTTTATAACTAGATAACTTCAAACTATTTTGAAGTGGAAACTACTGATATGGAGAAGAGCCGTACGCGTGTTTTTGTGAAAAGTTTCAACACTGTAAAGGGTTTGCTTTGTGGAAATAAATTTTTATAAAGCTACGAGAAGTGTTTTTTAAGTAAAGGCCGTTTGAAAATAAAAACCAAACGAAAGAAAAGTTTTAAAAACCAAATTTATATTCAGATTCTACATACATTTTTTCAATTTTGAACATAGTTTGTTTAAACACTTATCATAGAACATTAGAACTAGATTTTGAATACCCTCTTCATAGAAACTTGCCGCCTGCTCCGCTAACCAAGACATCACGGCCGTTTTCATGTCCTAGGCTATACACTTCAGGAAATTCGTTTAAAAGAGTGCTTATGGTGAAGATCTGTTCTCAAGAATTTTTGCTTCATCTGAAGCCACCATATCGTCTGTGATCACAGATGGGCGACCAGAGCAGGACTCATTACGGACGTTGTCGCGGCCAGCTTTGAAGTCTCTGACCCCCTTACACACTTTGCCTTTACTCATGGTAGTAGCTGCGTAAACACAAATTTGCTAGTGAATGTCTACAGCAGACAGGTGTCTTGCCGTCAAAAAAACGTGGCGGGCGATTCAATAATCTTGAACATTTTAAAGACACAGAACAGATTGTACAAGTGAGCTACACAACTGCAACTGAGCGCACTTGTTTCCAAGGGATGTCGGAATACGACGTAAGCACTCGTTGCCACCCGCGCGACACGTATTAGTGTATACAACAAAGCGGCCCTTACTTTAAAAACACGCTACGTATCATCGGTTCTTTGTGCATTTAAACGAACCCGTACGTACAGATATATACGTACAGATTCTTTGATATTTAATTCAGAGATGTTTAAAATTTAGCTCTTGCTAGTTCTGCAGTGTAAACCAAGTTGCGTCTATGTAATGAATATTACTTTTTCTTCCATAGGGAACATCAGTCTTAAATTTAGCAGTCCATGATGGCGACACCGGTGACCCAAGGGATCTGGTTTTAAGGATAGAAAATGGCAAGTACTTAACAACACTTTGCCTAGCTTGTTTAAGTATTTCATAGTGATGTTTTAGTATTATTTTGATAGTCACAAGCAAACGTCCTGAATTTCAAATTTATATTCGAGCTAACAAAAATAAACTTTAATTAAAAAGTGTATAATTACATGTAAAGTTCAGTAACAATAAATAGAGCACAAATTTTGTTCCGGAATTTATAAAAAAAAATATCACCAGGAGATCGCGAGGTAAATAGCGAAAATTAGCGAGACTTTGGCGGGCGGTGATTTTCACTAATATTTTACCAAAAAATGTTTAATAATCCAATAATATTTCGGAGCGGGAGGAACGTATACTAACCACGAAGCACTAACACAAACAAGTATTACGTTATTAAATAAAAAAATATTTTGACTCATTTTTGAATCGAAATTTGCAATCACAGATCTATCAAATTGTGGAAACGTGTTCAATACAGGTATTTTAGATAAAAAAAAATGTCGTTTAATTTTTACAAATTATATCTGATTTGTAAAAATGGAAAGCATTTTTACAAATCAGAATTCCGAAAATTCCCGAGAGCATATTTCACAAGTGCACATCTGTGTAGCCACCGAAGGAGTGGCTTCTAGGATGGACCAGTAAGCATTCAGTAATATTTCTTTCATATCACATGACTTTTCGCGTGCTTTAAGATTTAAGCAAGATGGTTGAAAATATTCTGCCACGCAATTTTCTGTACAAAATAATTAAAGCATCGTCGATTGCTTCTGAAACTTTTCATTGCGAAGTTCAATCAAATATAGGCAACTATGAAAATTTCACTACCTGGTTAAAATAAATACAAAATCATGTTGGATACTTCGCAAAAATATCGATGTGAAATATTACTTAATAAGTGGTAAATAAGATGAGGAAAGAAATATGTAATAAACATCAGAGCCCAATTGCAATCTTTACATAAAACTATGCGTATGAGAAAAATATTTACACCAGTTATATATGTAAATAGAAGTCAGCACTTTTTATTGAAGTCTATATGAAAAAGATGTTCTATAATAATAACCAATGCAGAATTTTATTCAAAGTGAACTTTACTAATTTGCATTCGTATACATTTAGTGTGTTAAATTTCACATTTAATAACTGCTCACTCTTAAATGCACTGTCTACATAAGAAATACTCATCAAACAGAGTGAATTTATCTTAGTCACGACGAATATATTCAATTTATTTACATATAATATTTAATGTTAGCAAATGGATATCATCAGATCATATGTATTCTGAATCTTACACTCTAAAAATCAAAAGAATGCAAGCATTGAAATAAGAAAACACTAGATTCATTGTAAACCTTTCAGTCATTCTCAGCTCAATTAAAAATATGTACACTTGGATTCTTTTAATCCACATAATATGCCGTGAACATCAATCCAAATATTAATGCGTGATAAAATTCGCAAAAGTGAAATGTCAGCGATTAATTAAACTCAGAAAACGCAAGATTTCTACTATTACGCCATATATTTATGACTGCGAAACAAATGCAAATTAAAACGTAAGCAACATATGCTCACATGCACGAAGATTTAGCATCACAAGTGAAATAGAAGCTCATTGGTCCGTTTTCGAAACCCCTCCCTCAGTGGCTACGCTGATGTGCATTTGTGAAATATGCTTCCCGAGATGTCGGTGCCCTCGTCACCTGCTATAGAAATGGATGAAACATTGTAGGATTCACGCAGCAAAAAACAATAAACTTTTTTAACACCCCCCTTTTTGAATAATTTGAAAGAAGGAAAACTCTAGAGGGCGCTGATACCTGCGTTGCTGTAGAGAGAATGATAAAAGTTTTCTGTTGAAAATGGTGGTCTAAAAATATGTTCTGTACACACCATAGTTCATTAAAATATTGTTAAAATGCTAAAAGTATGTGAATGACTGAACCACGATCACCTGATATAGAAACTCATTTCTATACCCCTCACACACACACACACACACACACACACAAAAAAAAAAAAAAAAAAAAAAAAAAAAACTAATCTAATCATAAACGCATTAAACCTATCTTATCTCTGTCGTCGGTAGCTCATCGGAGATATATAACTGTGTTTGATTTAATTCTTTAAGCAATGAATTTTCATGTCCCAACACCCAGACGATTTTATAACGATGTCATATTTTATAGATACTGACACCTTTATGCAAGTCGGTGGACTATTCGCCAAGATTAAGCACTTTCCACGAACGCCCCACCATATTGATAGAAGTAGCATTTTCGTGATATGAGCTGAACTTCATGAGGGCACAGTGTACCTTTTTGTATTTATGTCAGTGGCATTTAGTTGGAGGAACACTTAGTTCAGTCTTTATTAAAAATTTAACTTTCTTCGCTTATATAACTGAATATATTTAAATAAAATATTAAGGAAGTAATTAGGTTTAATATAATGGATATGCTATGTATAACTCTATACTATTTGGAGGCAAGATGAATCTTCCTTTCTGGGTATGTGGAAAAAAAAAAAAAATATACAGGATGTTTCATATTGAATGGGACAAAAATAATAGAATAGTATAAATTGTTTAATACATTTATCAAGCTGAAACAAATTAATTCGGAAACTGCGATTTTACAAGTTTTATCTGGCAACACCAAAAAATCTTCCAGTTATGAGATCGCCGGTAGAGATACTGTTAATTAAAATGGCGCCATCCGTGCAGGAGAAACCATAAACCGTTGCCTAAAGCTTTCTGTTAGAATCTGCAAGATATTCTGGAGGTAGATGATTTCGCGAACAGACTTCTGTTTAATTGATCAAGCCACTTTTCATGTTCCTGGCAAAGTTAATATCCATAATTTGCGGTTTTGGGACATGGAAAATCCGTATGGTGTAATGGAATATTCTCCAAAAGTGAGCGTTTCCTGCGCCATTTCCAACAGTTGTGTTTTTGGGTCCTTTTTCCTTCTTAGAAATTCGATTAACAGCTGTATTTACCGAGATAAGCTATCAGAGCGGTTGTTTCCTCAGTTGGAGGAAGCTGTTCCCGGCTTCACTCTGCGGCAAGACGTTATTGCAGTACATCGGCATGAAAACGTACGGTACCTGAACGGTAATCTACCCCGTCGCTGGATTGGCCGTACTGGGTCAAACAATATTCCATTGCTTTGTTGGCCACCGAGATCCCCAGATCTAACCGCCTGTGATTTTGTTGAATACAAAGTGTTCGTTGCTCCATTTCCCCAGGGCTTGCAGCAACTGAAGAATCGGAGAACTGAATCATTAACAGAGGATATTCTATCGTGTGGCACACATAGAATATGTATAGAAACTTAGATAATTGTAGTTTCACTGTAGATTTTATTTATCAGAGTAATTACAGCGTATACGGGTATTCTTTCTTTTTGTCCTATTCAATATGAAATAACCTGTATATCACACTTGTGGGATCCACTTGCTTTATCTTCTAAGTGACACTGTACGTGTAGTATGGAACTACACAGGAGAAGGTTTAAAAGTACCCTTTATTGATAGTCTTTAAAACTCACACTGCGTCGACTCGACGCTAACACTCTACGCCTCGCTTGGGCGATAAATCAAATAACAAAAACTGAAATAACAGAACTAAACTAAAAATTCGAAGATATTCATAAGTAGTAGAACTAAGCTACAGGGCTCAGATATTCCTGTTTCTTAAACCCCCGTCGAAACTAGTGGCTGCAAAGAAAATGTTGTTATGCCACGTAAACCAGCAATAACTTCGGGAGCAGAAGCTCACGCAACTGAGGTGACGGCAATAGCCTAACTCTCTCTAACTTCTTTCTAAAACTCGGTTTTTAAACTCTTTCTCCACAAGGTAGAATTTGCATTCCTTCACACGCGCTAACCAAATTTAAATATTCTGCCACTGACAATTAGGGGAAGAAGTCTTATAGGGAAGAATGTGAAATTAAATAAAATTGGTTATTTAAAATGAATATAAATCCGTAAACACTTGTAATTATTTACATAAAATCATCACGATACATTGAAGTTAGTAAGCATTTTAAGAATATCGAATTATTACGAAACAATATTTAGAACTTTTTTAGCAACTTTTGAAAACATTCCTACCTGAAAAGAGATTAACTTGTTATGTTTGGATAATAATTGTGTTAAATGTTCGTTAGACATTTATTTTATACTTTATTTTACATAATTTAATATACCTATTTTTAATGATTTCTTTGTTTCCAGTTAAAGGTAACTAATAAATTTTTTTCTCTGTTGGGCTTAAAATAATTTTCTTTATTTTGTATTCTAGATGAGAAAGAATATTTTCAATTAGGACCCACTTCTACTGACAATCGCAAAATTGTTACTGCTATATTAGAAACAAATAATCCGATTAATCGCGAAGATATCGGAATTTTGGATAACGGTGGACTTTACGTGTTTCAGATAAAGGTGAGTAATTTTTTAATAATAATTTCACGGTTTATTACCTTGGGAAATATTTTATCATTCCTTATACCGTTTCGTATGGCAGTTTGGTTATTTTATACCACACAAATGTTCCTTAGGCCTACCAGAATAATTATTTCCTTGTCTTCTGTAATTAGTTTGATATCGATTAGATGTTTGCTGTTCATGGAATAAATAAATAATGTGTAAAAGCTCTTTATTTCGATTTTTATGCCAATTAAATAAACCCAAGTCAAAAGAGAACAATTTGCCCATCTTGCTTTTGCTGAAAATGCTTTATTAAACGTTTTATTGTAGAATTATTTCTTATTTTTTTTATGTTTTCTGTGTAATTGATGTAATATATAATGCATATCAGTAATGCAGCTTACGTAAATACAATGTTTTTATTGCATAAAATGCCTGTAGTAGATCATTGCATCTAATGTCTAGATTTTGTTTAGTTTAGAAAACGGGGTAACATTTCTTGTTTTGCGAATTAAAATATGTTTGAAATATTCACTGATTTTCTATTCCAATACATTTTGAAAATGGAAATATTTGGAATAGTATATATATATTTTAAGAATTAGAAACAAATCCAGCTAGTCGACAGCTATTTTATGGTAGCAGAATTACTTATGAATTACTTATTTCCTTTTTTCTCTTTTATGATAAATAGTTACTGAAAACAATCTAAAAAAATACATTTCTAGCTTGTAAATAATTAAAATTTCGCTTATTCATAAAGAAATACGGTTTAAGGGTGGAAAATGAATTAAAAGAGAAGAAATTATCTTTAAAGTACATTTTGTCACTACTCTCACAAAATTGTGATTACAGAGTAAAAAAAAAAAAAAAAAAAAAAAAAAAAAAGTAACTGAGACTTATTTCTAAGTTAGTTAAACTACGATTAGTACTTAGTAAACCAACAACAGTCAATAAAGTACGATTTGCTTAATTAAACATTTAAAAAACTTTATTTATTACAGGAATCCAGAAATAGTCAACAAATAACGATTTGCTTGATTAACCAATTAAAAAGCTTTATTTATTGCAGTAATCCATCAATAACCAACAAATAACGATTTAATTTAGTAGGCAAACAACAAAAATCAACGTTATATTTGTAAATTTTGCAGGTCTAGTTTGGATGGTTTGACCGAACCATCATCCTCAGCTGCCAAAGTGCAAATGAACGAGATAAGATGTTGTGATAAGATAAGATAAGAAAGGCTGTACAGGAGTTAAGCTACTGTTACAGTAATCCAACAGTAGTAAACAAATAACGATTTGCTTGATTAAGAAATTGAAAAGCTTTATTTATTACAGTAATCTAACAACAGCCAACAAATAAGGATTTGCTTGTTTAAACAATTGAAAAGATTTACTTATCCAACAATAGTGAATAAATAAAGATTTGCTCTTGATTAAACAATTAAAAAAGCATGATTTATTATTTACTTTATTTAGTCTTAATTGTTGTGTAATTCATCCATTTACTTATCCTGATGACAGAAGCCAATATTCAATAGTTTCTAATTTAAAATAAGCATTAATAAGAATTTTAAAAATTTAAAGCTCCGTTCACACATTCTGGAGGAAGAGGAAGTTATGGAGATAAAATATTTAAATATGTTTAGAGAGTCTGAGCAAAGTCATAAATTTTAGTTTTATTTTTCATGGTAAAATTGATGATCGTTGTAAAAAATCTGTTTTTATAGAAATTTCAGTACCTACATTTTCCCGTAATTGTTGGACTACAGTTAATTACATACGGATCGGACCTTTACAGTTATACAGGGATCGGCCAAATATGTCTCCAAATGATCGGTAAGTTTGGCATCTTTTGGCGATTTCTCGCCAAATTTAGCGACTAAAAACTAGTCGCCTCTAACCATCGCCAGTTTGGAGCAACCATTTACTCGATGTTAAATGGACTTTCCCCTGTAACGTTATTTTTCCGGCGAAGCTTAGCTTTCTCGAACCTTTTCTGCTACATTATGCAAAATATACTACAGTTTACGTATAATTTCACTAGAATTATTTGTATATATACAAAATTCGAAACAATATGGTTTTTACTTTTATTTTCTGAAAAACTAATTCATTAATTGCAAAACCGATCCTTAAAATTATGAATAACATTCTAATGAAAAAAATTAAAAAAACTGGTGTAGAAACATTGAACACTGTAGAACAAGGAATATAATTTAATTGAGTTAAATTTTTCTTCAACAAATTTAAATTTAAAAAGAAATTACCGGCATTTTTTTCCAACCCATTTAATAATAGCTATGAAAAAGAAGATGAAAGTTCTTAAATTAAAAAAAAAAAAAATCATTCAGAGGGGTCCAAGTCCCATTAACATTCAAAATTCAGCACCTAATAAAGTTAATTTTTCTCTTTTCGCAACAACTTAATACAGTTGCAAGCACCATTATTTTGATAACTTTTAGTACTTTAATCAATAAATTAATAATGACCTCCAAATCACAACTTTCGTTTTCATTTCAGGCAATTGAAGTGGTGAATGGCTTGCCAGTGGGAGAGTCTACTACTGCTAATGTCACTATCGTAGTTGGGGATGTCAATGACCAGCCACCGATTTTCAATGAAAAGGAATTCAACGTTACGATCTCTGAAGATATTGGGCCCCACACGCCTTTGCCTGGCCTCAATATTGTAGTGACTGATACTGATGTGGTAAATATTCTATTAAGTTTTGATATTCGTAATACTAGTAAGCATTTTAAATGAAAATATCTGATGTGGAAATCGCATGACTTCCTTGTACAGCCTATTACACACATTTTTTGCTGCATTTTAATTAATTTCTTTATTCTAAGAATAATTGATCCCTCAAGGCATGTTGAAAATAATATCAAAAACTGCGAATGGTTAAATTAAATATCCCTGTCAATTTTTGTACGTACGGGAATTAAATTTCATGCAATTATGTATTTTCATAGCTAGTGTAAAACTTTTCTAGATATAAGTACAGGAAACAAGTAAGCGCATTAAAAGTTAGATTTTGTTATTTGTCGAAAATAAATTTCTTTTTAAATTTGACATTGCCAAATTTTCATCCTATAAAATACTTTTGTAATTGGAAGCATATGATTACGATGGACGATTGCGAAAATAAAGGCCGGATTAAGGCTTTTTACCCAGTAAGTGGGGTGAGTATATACAGTGGTGGCCAAAATTGTGAACACTTTGTAAATTTTTATGTTTTTGAACTTTGTATGCTTATAGAAAATGTTACGTTTCGCAAAATGCAAACTTGTATATATTATTTTAAAGAGAATTTATTACTGAATTCAATACAAAACACAAAATTCAATTATTTGCAATACAAAAAAAGTTATATGTACTTTAATATAAATAAAAAACACCGTTATGAAGTGGTTTGTAATGTTTAGCTTTCCTGGCCAATCACTGTTTTTGTTCTGAGAACCAATCAAATGTTAGTAACTGCCAGTAGAAGCTGACATCACGTTTACACTTGAAACAATTCATTATTTTGCTTTGTTCTGTAGAAGGGGGACCTGTTTCTTATACACTGCAATTATAAGTAGGAATTTTTGTAAAAATTTTTAATATTTAGTCAAGAAGCAATGACATCAAATAAAAGAGTAGATTGGACACCTAGAAAGAGATGTAATATTATTGTGTTACGAGAAAGTGGTCTTTCCTATGCCTGAAATTGCAAGACAGGTGGGTGGTTCAGTGACTACAATCTGGAGTCCGAAAGTTTTGTTTACGATATCAGGAGACAAATTCAATAAAAAACAAAGAAGGAAAAGGCCGAAAAAGGTGCACCACATCTATTGATGACAGAAGAATAAAAAGACTATGTCTCCAAGATAGAAAATGTCATCAGAAGTAATCTGAATGATGCTGGTGTTTCTGTCAGTTTAAGAACAATCAAGAGAAGATTAACAGATGTTGGACTGAGAGGTAGAATTCCACGAAAAAAGCCTTATCTTAATTTTAAGCAACGAAAAAAAAAAAAAAAAAAAAAAAAGACTACAGTGAGCAAAGGAACACATTAATTGGACAGATGATCAGTGGTCACAAGTTATATGGGAGTGATGAAATTAAGATATCGTTATTCGGTAGTGATGGCCGAAAATATGTAAGACGTAGAATAGGAGAAGAGCTACATCCTGACTGCGTTCAAGCAACTGTGAAGAATCCAGTTAGTGTTATGATTTGGTCATGCATGTCAGCAGATGGTATTGGTCGCCTTCATGTCATCGATGGGAAACTGAATGCCAGAAAATACATTGACACTATTCTAGAACCAAAACTTCTACCTTCCATCAGAGATCTCTTTCCCAACAATGCTTCGTTTATTTTTTAGCAGGATTCTGCTCCTTGCCACACGGCCAAAATATCGAAAGAGTGGTTTCGTACAAAGAGCATTAAATTCTTCTCATGGTTAGGAAACAGTCCTGACCTCAATTCTATCGAAAATTTTTGGCACCGTTTGAAAGCTCTTGTCCGAATGAGGCGCCCATCAAATAAAAGGGAACTAATTGAGGCTATAATTGTTTTCTGGCATCATGTAATAACTAAAAAAGAGCTTAAAACTCTTGTCAGCTCAATGAAACGTCGATGTGAAGCTGTAATCAAAAATAAAGGGTACCCTACTAAGTACTGATAACTCACTGCAATCATCACTATCTAATGTATATCGATAACTGTTATCGTTTAACTTTTTTTGTATTGCAAATAATTGAATTTTGTGTTTTCTATTGAATTCAGTAATAAATTCTCTTTAAAATGATATATAAAAGTTTGCATTTTGTGAAACGTAACGTTTTCTATAAGCATACAAAGTTCAAAAACATAAAAATTTCCAAAAGTGTCCACAATTTTGGCCACCACTGTATATTGTTACGAAATGTACAGGCGCGGTAAGATGGCTTCCCTGCATAGCAGTTTTATGGTTGCCATAAAATGGCAAGGAAAGGCAGGGTGTCACGTTTGGCGAGAAGTCGCCCATTTGGCGACAAAATTGGCGATGAACCATGAACGGTTGGAGAACCTTCTGGAACGAATTCTTACCGGTTTAGCCCAGAATGTCCTGGAACACAAGCTATATAAACCCTGCCGGTCCGCAGTCAGTGTGCTTCATCGCGAGGGCGAGTCAGAGTGCCTCGTCTGGAGTATCAAGTGTGTGTTTCGTCTAGCGAATCAGTCCGTGCGGAGTCGATAGAGTTCACAGCCGGGGCAGCGAGTGCCGAATGAGTCGTCGAGTGCACCGAAGGAGTTTCTTAGTGTATCGCGGTTAGTGCATCGTCGAGAGAGCGTGTTGAGCTCCGGGAATGACTGAGCTGAAGAGTCGGGAGCTGTGCTCGTGTATCGTCGAGCGCATCGCGAGTTGTAGCGTGGAGAGTCTCGAGAGTACGTGAGTTTCGAGGACAACCAAGCAGAGTCGGGCGCTGCACTTTAGTGCTTTGCAGCAAGCTGTTTCCACCGTTATTGCCTGACAGTGTGAAGGCTGTGTCGCTGATTGTTCCAGCGTGTTTATAGTAGATCTTCGACGAATGTAAAAAGTGTTTTCAAGCTGTCCTGATTAATATTGGCTAAATAAAGTGCATTTCGATACGTCATCAAGTATCGTCGTTATTCACTCCAAATTTACAAACCCCGTACGAACGTGAAGGAAGAAAATAACGCAACAACTGGTGTCAGAAAAAAAATACCGCAACAATATATATATATATATATATATATATATATATATATATTTGCACAGAAGAGGAAAGTTCAGAAATAGCTAACGCTTAAAAGTACATTTGATACTGCAGTTTCCGAGTAAAAAAGTTACACCAAGTATAAATAATAATATAATACTAAAGCAGTAAAAGTTTTCGCGTAAAAACCTACAGTCATAACTACGATATGATATAATTTTTTTTTAAAAGGGATTAGACAATACTAAAAATTTTTGAAATAAAAAATTATAAATGATGCACACAAACAATCAAAAACATCACAAAGAAATATATACAAAGAATTGCAATAAATGGTAAATTAGCCCAACTCAAGGTTTAACACGGACGTAACAAAGGAAAATAGTGAAAAAACTCGAATCTCAGCTAATACCAGGAGAGCGTTTCGTCAAACGAAAACAGTTGAGACAGAAAGCGGAAGTTCATTAATAAAATTATCAAATTAAATTATCTTAATATAGTTCAGTCTCAATAGTTTAGCTTCTTTTCCCGACGCGCCAGCAATTTAAATATTATTTAAAATTTGCTATTGATGCAAGAAAAATCTATGCAGTGTAGCCTAGGTTGGCGAATGTACAATTTAAAATAAATAGCTTAAAAGCTATTAGTGAAAAAAATACACAATTTTAAGGAAATCCCTCTAAACTCGAAGAATAAAAACTTTGTTAAAAAGAAGATTAAAATAAAAATAACGTCTCGAAATGGCTCCTCATAAGACCAAAGGCAAAGAAAAATAGAAGAAAAAGCTAAACATACCTGCGTCCATTGCACTGGCCTGAAGAAATTAAAGTGAGCATAAAATCGCTGAAAAAGGTTGCCGGAATTAGAAGAATTCCAAAGAAATGCTTCAAAGCAGTCAAAATTCACCAATTAGGGAACATTCCCTTCAAGTAATTTGGTAAATACAGTTAAAAGTTTTATACATAATGAAACCTAATAAGAAAGGAAAAAAAAAAAAACTTTCCCAAGTGTTTTGAAGGCGTGTAGAGAAAATCCTGGATTCAATTTTTTGCTTTTTTCGGTTTTATATGAATTTTTTGTAATTAATGTAATGGATTTTTTGTTTTTTGATTTCAAATGAACCAGGAGAACGAAACACGTTTTCGAAGCATATTAATCGACGTTTATGAAGCTTTAATTCATTTTCCCTGATGAGTTCTGAATTGGAGTTTTAGCGAAAGTAGATTAATTTTTACATTTTTATTATCTTGTACATATTTTTTCCCTTTTGCATTTTTAGTTTTCGATTTTGTATACTATGATCCTTTTTTAAATTTTAAATTGTTTATATAGATTATGCGTCGAACCTCTTTTACAAGGATGCAATTATTAATATTGTTGAGGAATTGCCTTGCTTTGAATCCAATTTACTTTTAACTTTAGAAGCTTTAAGTTTATATATATATATATATAAATTTTCAGTCGAATATTTTTAATATTTCAGAAAATTTAAGTAAAAGTAGGCTCTGTTATTTCAAAAATTCTCTCAGACCAAGTCAGTTTTTAAAGTTGGGCACTGTATTTGATTAAACTTGGTTAGATATGCTGGCATCCAAAGTTTGAGAAAAGAACTTCAGTCAGTGAGCATTTGTGAACACTTTTTTTAAAAAAATAACTGACATGAATTGTTATTATGAAGTGGCAAAATTTAACGCTAGATATATCAGATTACTATCGGTTGTTAGATAAATTTGAAAATAAATATTTATAGCGATCTCCATTGAAGTCTCTTTTAGTTTTCGTTCAAAGCAAGATCAGTGCACTAACAAAATTTGGCTCTTTCCAAAGCTGACGTCACTTACTTACAGAACTGGGAGATACAAACGGAGTAGGAAAGAAGCTGCTTTTCAACAACCTAAAAGTCAATGACGTCATACAAGAGTAAACTTTTTAGATAGTAATCCTGTTTCAAAAATCTCAGAAACACAGTGTAAGGCTTCAGCTGTCTCGTACAACACCTTATGTGAGAAACTGGTGCTCATCCTTATCCTAACTTCCCTTATTATTTTTTGTATTAATGACATAATTTCTTTTTCAGTTATATAATACTATAATTTTATTCTCAGGGTGACAACGCTAAATTTAATCTCGAGTTAGAAGACGTGTTGAACTCCGATGGAATGTTCGCCGTTTTCCCATCTGAAGCTATTGGCAGGACACCTGTGATCATAAGGATTAACAATGCCAGCGCATTGGATTACGAAATACCAGAGAAAAGAATATTCATCTTTAAAGTAAGATATTGGCAAAGTTACGGATAAGTTTAATATAAGTAAAACAAGAAGCTAAAATTTAACTTTTGCCGTTGTTACTTTATTAGGTAAAAGCGGTTCAAGAAGGTTACAAAAGTGATTTCGCAACTGTGACCGTCATGTTAACGGATGCCAACGATAATGCACCTGTATTTAAAAGTGACCAGTATATTTTACAAGTACCTGAAGATGTTATTCCTGGCACTAATATATTCACACTAACAGTAAGTAACTGATACTGCATATTTAAAAGAAAACATATTATGAAAGAAACTGTTGTACTGCCTATTAAATTTTAACACATTTTTTGCTGTACTTCATTCAAACTTATTTCCTCGAAATTCATTAAAGACGCATTTCTTATTTAATCAGTTTAGTTCTCACTCCCTGGCAAACCAAAAACATAAAAAAAAAAAAACTCAAAAAAAATTTAAAATTCATTAAAAATTTTATAATAAAGAAAAACTTAAAACTCCAAAGGCAGTTAAAAATATTAAAAAAAAGAAAAAAAACTACGATTACAATTAGAGTTTGTGCGAAAAAACAAGCAATTTGGCCAAAGGACTAGAAGACAAAAGTTTTGGTGCACAAACTGACTTCATTCGTTATACTGTTAACAGTTTCAAATGTAAACAAAATTGCGCTATGTTAGGCTTAGTTGCACTTACACATTTAAACTGTTGATAATTCTACAGCTGTTACAAGGAGGTAAATTAAAGGCATAAAAACTATAGCCGGATCATAAGAACAATCTAATTAAATCACTTTTAAAGCAAAAAATGCATATTTTTACAACATATAACAATAAAAAACAGAGCTCACCGAGCCGGGTAAGAAGGTGGGTATATATTTATATATACACTCATGTCCATAAATTAAGGATAATGCAAAATCAGGCAAAGGAAAGTTAGAAGCAAAACAAATTTGACTTATTTGTAAAGCTTATTTATTAAACAAAAGGTAAAGAGCAAAAATAGATGCTATATGTTTGATATTATTAAAAAAATTAGCGATCTTTTCTCCCTGGAAACAAATTACAAAAAAAAAAAAAAAAAAAAAAAAAAAAACCTATTTACAAAAAACCAATATTACATGGTTGGTATGATTGTTAATACATTGTATGTCTCCCAGACGATGCAATACAGTCCGTACAACGCCTAGGCATGCTGAGTATCAAATTATCGATCTGATTTTGGGGGATATTACACCACTCAAAAAGCAATGCTCTCCGAGGTTCCGGTAGACATGTAGGAGAAGGTTAAGGGGTTGCAACTTGTCGGCCAAGCATGTCCCACACGTGCTCTACTAGATTCAAGTATGGTGAGAATGCTGGCCAGTCCATATGGGTGATATCCTCCGATTGAAGGCATTCGCTTACGATGTTTGCACGGTGAGGACGGGCGTTGTCATCCATAAACACAAATTGTGAGCCCATGGCGCCCCGAAACAAACGTACATGTTGTTCCAGAATGACTTCCCGATAGATTTGGCTTGTCATGGTTCCAATTTGAACATGTAGGTCAGTTCTGGAACCCAGAATAATTCCACCCCAAACGAGCACTCCTGAACCACCGTAACGGTGTCGTTCAATGATGTTTTCTTGGTGGTAACGGGTACCTGGAGCTCTCCATATGAAAGTCCGGCGAGAATCAGACTGCAAGCTAAACCTGGAATCGTCGGAAAACATCACATGAGCCCACTATTGCGGTGTCCACAATGCATGCTCTCTACTCAAGGCTAACCGCAGGCGACAGTGAGTTGCAGTAAATGGAACGCATCTGACAGGTCTACGAGCATACAGACCAATCTGCCCTAAGCGTCTGGACACGGTCTGCCTTGAAATTGTCGTACCAGTGGCTGAAGAGAGCTGACGAGACAGGTCTGAGGCTGTGCTCCGCCTGTTTCTTTTGGCAGTAACTGCCAAATACTGGTCCTCATTCGGCGTTGTAACTCTGGGGCGACCTGTGCTGTAACGTCTACTCACATTACCGTTGCCAAAGCCTGGAGATGGCACTCTGGGAAATTCCAAGTTCGCCTGATACTTCAAGTTGTGTACGCCCACATTCCAGACGGCCGATAATTCTACCACGTAAAAAATCATCCAAATGCGTCCTTTGCGTCATAACTATTCGGTTATTGCACTGAAATGCTTATAAAGCGCCTGCGAACAATTTTACTTCTTTGCCTGTATTCCTTATATATCACTCTCTTACACTCTCGTCATTATGACGTACCATCGGGGTGATCTGGTTACTTCCTGAAATTTGCATATGATTTTTGAATATGTGTGTAGTGATTTTATAGGTGATATATTTATTTTAGAGTTCGATTTCCGCGTGACTCCGAATTATCCTTAATTTATGGACATGAGTGTATATATGTTTGGTGCAAGTGATTGCAATAAAAATTGCAGATGAACAACTAGATGTTATAGTAGTCCCTATACAAAATTTCAACGTTTTACGACTAATCGTTTTTGAGTTATGTAAGATACATACATATGCACACTCATCAAGAAAAAACTCCCTTCTGAATCCATTCTAAATCCATTTTGTAATTCGTGTTGGGAAATAAAAAAAAAAGAGTCTTATATTCTGTCCTTACGTACAGATATCACGTAAAAAATGTCCAGATAGATTCGAGAGCATCCAAAATGGGTAGTTTGGTTGAGATATGATACCTGAAATATTTCGAGATTACAATACTTCTTTTGCTTCGTACAAGGAAGTAAAATGGGGGGAAAGAAAGAAAACGGATAAATGAAGCATTTTTGATTTACTTTACCGTGTATAATGAAAGAATCTAATTATGTGTGATATGTATGTAATTTCTAATAATACGTACAAATGAAAGTGGAAAGGAAAAAGTAAACAGAAATAAAGTTTCATACATAAATGGTTCTATTTAAATTCATGGATATTTAAAAAATACAACTAAGCCCTCTATACTCTTAATAATACGAATAAGCGAACTCCTGAAGTAGTAGTCTTAATCTGAGTGTGCGTGATTATGGCAAAGCTTCGAGGGCTATCTGCCTAAGGTGAGGGATGTCTTCTTGGAGGACTTTCTAAGGGAAACTGGCTCGTATACACGTTACACATGGAGAAAGCCACGAAAACGCCCATGCAGCCAGCCCGTTCGCGGGATTCGAACCTCGGACCGAACTACCAGTGTTCAGCGACTTTACCGCTCGGCCGCTGGTGGGCCCATGAATTAGTAGAGCTATAGTAGTAGAGACTCTTGAATAAGAAAGTAGAGATTAAATCCAATTTTAAAATTGTATGTACATTTTGAGACTTGGCGATAATATTAAACAAACTTAAAAAACAAATGAATAACATTAAATAGAGTTTAAACGAAGGTGGATCTATTAATTTATTGTTTTATTTTACAACATAACTCAAACGTTGTCCAACAAAATAAATCATGAAATTAATCAAAATCTTCACTTTGCATAATCATACACACTTCCATACTTTCCATATCATACACACTTCTTTTTCTTCGCCTTTTTTAATATAAGATAATCAGCATGAAAAGCATCAATTTAAGTATACAATGAAAATGGACTTTTGAAAAGATTATAAATGCATCTGAAAATACATGAAATATCTATTTTTAGAATTTCCTTCATTTGTAACAAATAAAAAATAATTATAGCAGTTTAGAACTTTCATAATTATTTCAGCGTTTATTTTCATTCAAGATTTCAGATGTTTTCTCAAAAGTTCTTTCATTTCAAACACGCCAGAGATATCCATTTTTAAATAAGATGCTATAATATGCTGATTTATTGTTGCCATTTATTTATTATATTCTCAAAAATAAAATAATAATAATAATTTTATGGATTCCATCTAAAAGGCTTTAATGTTTTTCAGGCTCACGATGCCGATAGTGGCGACTTTGGAAAAGTGACTTATGCTATCAAAGGTTTTGGATCAGATAAGTAAGAATAAACAAATTAATATTTTTCATTTAATTTTTTAGCCCAAAGGGGCAATTTGTCCAGAATTTCGTTTTGGCATTTTGCGTCGATTCACTTTCTGCGTTAATTCACATTTCAAACTGTTGCCACCAAATATTAGAGCCCTGTATTATATTTAAAGAAATTAAATAATGAAGAATTTGCATAAATGTATGTATGTTTCTCGCACTGTGATAAAACAACTGTACCTAGAGCCATCCAATTTTGAATAACGTTATTTTCCACCAAATATGAGTATCAGGAAGCCCGAATTTGGAATTTGTTTTATTACTGATTTCGTATTTTGTCAGACATTAAAGAATTTTTGATTAACAAACTCAATGATTTAAAAGCGAGCAATGGCAACACTGCACGAAAAAAAAAAAAAAAAAAAAAAAAAAAAAAAAAAAAAAAAAAAAAAAAAAAAACCTTTTTATCTCCAGAGCGCGACACTCAGTGTCAGAAATTCTAAATATATGCTCATTCTAAAATTATTTTGCGATATTGCTGTTGAATTGAGTTTTATGGGTAAGTGTGAAGAATATGATATTTAATAAATAAAGGTAACACACAAAACGTTAAAGAAACGCCCCTTTGGACGTATTGGTATTGCATTTTCCCTTCGACTATTTTCTAACAAACAAGAGCTGTCGCCAATACAAGAATTGCTTTCTTATCACTTTGGGACAGTGACATATATTCTGAACATAATGGTCATAATAAAGGACTTTGACCTACGTCCAAGCTTTCTTCACGGGCACCACAATACCAAGTTCTGTTAAAATAAGATGGACCGGGGTTTAAAGGGTATCTTTTTATAAGGAACAGTTAATATTTCTCTTTTAAATACACATGAAAAGAGGATTATGAGAAATGCAAAAACTTTTAGCTCGTTTTTCAGGAAAAAGTTACAAAAACTAATTATTAAAAAAAAAAAAAAAAAAGAAAGAGTAATTATAACGATCGCCCAGAAGAGTTCATTAAAGTTTAATAAGGTTTGTTTATGGGGAAAGATTATCATGGGAAAAGATTATCAGCAGAGATAGGCTAGATGGAATAGCTAAATATTTGATAGGATATTAGAATGAATATGTATTTAGACTAACATGGGAACGTTCCATATCTTCCGTATATTCAAAAAGTGAAAAAATATGTAAGTACTCCTATAAAAGTATCCAATATTTTTTTGAGTTAACATGAATTCAATGCTTTTTTATTTAAATAAAATTTAAAAGTGAACAAATAATATTTCTAAGAACTGCATCTACTGCTTTTAAATAGTTTAGTTCGTTTATTAGTAGTAGATAGAATAAATATGAAAGACTAATATATTACGTTTTCCGAATGGCAACAGACTTGAATGAAATCGCAAACTCGTGTATCGAATTAATAACCTTTTTGGGCCAATGAAGGTGTTATTATGTGTTAAAAATACCGTTACACTGTTAAAAATACTTTATTATGTGTTAAAAATACGTTACACTGTTAAAAATATGTTATTATGTGTTAAAAATATGTTACACGTTAAAAATACGTACCTTTTATTTTACAGATTTCAAGTTATTCCTAACACTGGAGAAATAATAGTCAGCAACTGCGATAAATCTTCGTGTTTAGACTACGAATCACAGAAAAGTTACTCCTTGACGTATGAGGCTGCAGATGGGGGAGGGAGAGTAACTACGGTCAATCTCTTTATGGAAATCGCAGACATCAACGACAACGCTCCTCAGTTCACAAAAGATGTCTATACTCACGAGGTGCTCGAAAACACCAGCAAAATTCTGCCACCCTTATTCATAAAGGTAATGCACAACATTATGTAACTTCTGTTTTTCATTACATAATACTTTGTGATCCTACATCACGAAATCCTTCATTTTGTATTATTGTACTGTTAGTAATTTTGCATATATGTAAATAATTTTGGTGAAAATATATGTAAAATTGTAGTACCTCATGCATAATGTAACATGAAAGGCCTCAAGAGAGTGAAACTTCGCCAGGAAAAATAAGGTTGCAGGGGCAAGTCCTTTGAGGTAAATGGAACCGCCAAGCTGGCGATGGTTTTGGCGACTAATTTTTGTCGCAAGTTATTTCCAAAAGTCACCAAATTGGGCGACCATTTTGTCCGATCCCTGATCCCATGCAGCTGTAGCTATATATGCTTTCAGCAGTTTTGAGAAATCCAAATTACTGGAAATTTCTCGGCGTCTGGAGGGAGGAGAAACAGCATCAGTTCTCAGACAGAGACAGCATCAGTTCTCAGTTTAGCTCAGAATATTCAGATTATTGAGAGATAGAACTTGTTTTCACCATATGGTTAAGAATGAAAAGTAACTACTATTTGTCATTGAAATGAGGGCATATTGATGAAGTGTTGCCATATTGTTGAGTTAAAACTTGCCAGGACGCAAATGGAATATGTGGACATCTACTTGACTATTACTTTATACTGTTCTACTTAAATAATATGCCATTGGCAACAAGAACCTTGGAGAAGAGTATAGCGACTATTCTTTGTTCTTCTTACAACTATAGAAAAAGAAAAAAAAAAAAAAAAAAAAAAAAAAAAAGGCCAAAGAAGGGTTAAAATACCCTTTTATTGCACACAAAGAATAATAATTGTTGGCTACTCTCGGGCTTACAAGAAAGTTTCCACTTGGGCTTTAACTTAAGACAGAAAATGACTTAATTCGTACTAACTTAACCAAAGCTGTGCAGAAATAACTAACCGGGTTGGCCCTTAAAATTAAACCTCACCGGGGAATATTAACTGGCACGGAAGACTGCGGCCGAACGCAGGACTTAGAAGAGACTATTTATCCCTGGGCCGAACGTAGCAAGATTGGCTTAAAGCAACGACGTGGTCCGAAGGGAGAGCACGCTCTACTGAGAACTTCTAAGCTCTTCTCCGGAAGTGACTGAACATCCCATTAAATGCTGGTTCTACTTCATTTACATAAAACACGATACCGAAAATTTATTCTGATAGGAAATTGTAGGTGGGAAACAAGAAAATAAAGGAAAGGGTTTCAAAATTAAAAATAAGTCTTAAAGGAAATTAGAATAATTCCCACAACTTACATTAACACATAAGTAAGTAATACCTAATTAGATTCATAATAAAATATAAGAAAACTTTCAGCATTAGATTTCTTTTCTCAAATATCTGAAAAATAGCATTATGTCAATAATATCAGCAATCGAATTTAAATTTTCTGAGCATTTTCAGGCAAAGATAATGAAAAAGTTAAGAAATTTCAGTAACTGACATTTAAATTTTCGCATTACAATATAAAATCCATCGACCTAATCCGTTCAATTTTGTATAACTTTTGTATTTCTCAAAATTGGCACTTACAAATAAGAAAGCTTTTATAGCATATATATGCACTAGTAAATAATTCTCACAAAGAAAAAAATTTAGCTTCATTTTTTAATGGACTCATTCGCATTTACAATACGAAAACGTTAGACTATGATAGTGGTGTCAAACTGACGGCCCTAGCGCCACATTCGACCTCAAAGCATTTTTATGCCTCTCGAGAATAAATTTCCTGTAAAATATTTAGAATTATTATGATAAGAATTTGAAGAAACATTTTACGATTTTGGTGGTTTGGAGTCCAGTTTTACATACATTATTTTCATTGCAAAAAAGATCTTATTCAAAGATTTGAAGACAAATTTGATTAATTTTATTAGTACTTATTAAGAGATAAATACCCTAACAGCTACGAAATTTTACAGTTATCGCTTTGGGAAGACATTCATATGGAACAGTTTTTTTAATAGTTGAATATTTATAAATCTATGAAAGGAATCAGATTGCCGATGAGTACCTATAGTTTGTGATGAAGATATTTTCTACTAATTGTCCTTTAAAATTACGAACTTTACAGAAGCCGGAATGTTATGAGGTGTTGTAAGGTGTAGTAAGAAACCAAAAAGTTTATAATTATTTACATATAAAGATTATTATTATTTATATAAGTTTTTGAAAAATGTAATAAACAAAAGAGAGAGAATAAATTATTATTTTCTCTCAAGTTTCCCCCCTTGTGAAGTTTTCGCATATTTCTTTTTAGTTAAAAATAAGTTATTGGGGGTACTTCAATACAATATAAATATGAAAATAAAAAATAAATATGAAAATAACTATTTTATAAATGTCAGTGAATTTTAATAGTTACCCGTGAATGCGTTTAAATGACAAATTATGGCCTATAGAAATTTTTGTTGATACCAACTTTTAGATTTATAATATAGGAAATAAGTATAAATTTGAATTTTTTTCTTTGCGTTATTTTCATATTTATGTTTTGACAAATATGTGAATTTTTTTAAAATTTAGTTAACAACAAAATACTTCTTAGTACTTTTCTTTATTTATTTATGTATTTTAAAAAAATTTTTGCGGTCTGTCAGCTGCTTTCCGTACTTGCATTCGACCAGCATGCAATTTGGAATCACTAAGTTACGGCATCTTTCAGGCTTCAGCTGAAGTACCAGACAACAATTCTTTTCGTTAAAATCTTAATAAAATTTATTGTAAAAACACACAAACATTAATGAAGCTTTTGTTCCGTACTGTTAGAACTCATCTTAATGTAAATATGGACTAAATTATACCTAAATAAAATTATTTATTAAAAAATTAGCAGAGCATTTCATAGCCGTTGGGTGATTGTCAATTATTTTTGTATCCAATATCATTTATATAAAAGTATAGCTGGCATTTGAAGTTTGAACGTTTATAATCTTGACGTTTATTTATTAATTCGCTGCAAAGTTATTTATGAGACGAATAAACAGGAATTTCTCTGGCAGTTTATTTAAAGAATGTTGGTGCTGCCACCTATTGAGAAAGAAAGGAAATGAAGTAAAACAGAAGAGAAACACTCCAAAGTTGAAGAAAAAATAAGCAAAGCAACAACATGTGTTTGACGTAAATTTACTCAAGGACTCAATCTATTTCGAGGGCAAACAGGTATAGGTCCCTTTTCATCATGAATAAAGAAATCTGCTCCCGCTGATTTCCTTTCTTAGTTCCTGATGAAGAGGGACCTGCATCTGTTTGCCTTCGAAATCGATTGAGTCTTTGACTAAATCTACTAAATTAAATTTTGAATATGAGCCCGATGTCCGGGTATGTTGTTCTTTAGACACCAAAATCTGTATTCCTATCTTTAAGTGTTAATGCGTTTTTTTTTTTTTTTTTTTTTTTTTTTTTTTAATGCCATATAGTAAGATGCATTTAATTGAAAATCATGACTGTAATAATGCACTAATCTAAGTACGCAGGAATTTGAAATGCTTAATCTCATACGCCCTTTCTGTGAAACGGGTATGAATGTTTACTCTCCAAGTGTTTTGGGCTATGTAGTAATTTAGTGCATAATTTATTAATAATTTTATGCAGTAATTTAGTGCATCACATATACCGTTATTTCGAAATGAATATTTGGAATTTAAATTGCATATGCATCTTCTTTCTGACAAAAATATTTTAGAAAATTATATTTTAATGCTTTACCAGGAAGTTCAGTATTATTCAGTATTCAGTATTTATCAGGAAATATTCGGTAAATACCATTCGTACACGAAAAACAGTAAACTGTTTGCATATCAGTAGTTGTTACCCTTTTAATGTCTATGATATACTTAATATCTTAAGACTTTCTTTCTACCTTTAATTTTTCAATTTAATCTTAGGCTACAGATTCAGACGGACCTACACAAGGCGATGGGAAAATTACATACGGTATTATATCTAATGATTTATTGGACATGAATGCAATAATGATTGAACCAGACACTGGAGAAGTGATTCTTCGAAGGCCACTAAAGCATTCTGAGACACCGAATGGAAATGGATTGCTAACTATCGTCATACAGGCTACCGATGCCGGAACCCCACCTTTGTCTTCTACTGCTAAATTAATTCTCAAGGTGAAGGTAAGAAAAATGGGAACCAGACTTTCATTTCAACTGTTCCAGATAAAAGTGTGTGCGTGGAAGATCGCTAAGCATAAATAACAGACAAATTCAAAGCAAAGTTATCTATAGCCTTGCAATAATTAAATAACGAACCAATCAAAATAACTAAAAGCATGAAATTACAGTTTAATCAACTTAAAATTAATAATTCTAAAATTACAGTTTGAAACCAGTTCAAACTTTTTTTACATCCTTGTGCGAAGAAAGAAAGTATTGTAATCACGAAACATCTCGGTTGTCTATTTCAATGAAAATATTCATTTTGATCTTTCCTAAATCCATTTTGACTATTTTTCCATAACATCTGTACGTACGGTCAATATAAAGGACTCTTTTTTTTTCCAGAGTGGGTTGTAAAATGGATTCATAATAGATTTTTTTTCGTGACGTCTGTACGTACGTATTTACGCATTTTGCTTAACTCATAAACGAGTAGCTGCATACAACTCATAGAAGCGTAAATATATGAATAATATATATAATATATATATTCACGCTTCTATGAGTCGAAGTTATTGTAACCCATCCCCCTTACACAGCTGTTATTTTCGCAACCTTTAATTGTATCCAATTACATAGTAGTTGGATACGACAATCGTATCTAATCGTATCCAGTTATATGTAATTGGATGTCGTAAATACATCCAATCACAGAAGTGTTTTAAATGATGAAAGTACTCATGTTTTGGTAATGTCAAATTTAAAAAAGAAGTTGTTTTGGGACAAATAATAAAATCTAACTTTTAATGCGGTCGCCCGTTTCCTATAGTTGTATTTGGGAAATTTTTGTACTCGTTATGAAAAAATAAAAACACAAGAAGCTTGACTCCCCTACGACAAAAAATTGACCGGAATATTTAATTGCGAAATATGTAGTTTATGATGACACTTTCAACTTGTCTGTAGGGATCAGTTCATTTAAAACTGTGGGAATTCTTCATTTAAAACACTTCTGTAATAGCAAGTATATGTCTACTACCAACGATTGCGAAAATAATGGCCGGTTTGAAGGGATTGTTATATATAATGGATTTACTCTTTTAAGATAATCCTACTATAATTAAACTTAGGAGATAATATAATCAATTAATCAATATCTTTTAGTAATAAATTCTTATTAACTTACTTGCAGCAATTGCGCAAGTAGTAGTAACTGTTTTCGCACTAAATGAATTTAAATCATACAGCATATATATATATATAATATATATATATATGTGTGTGTGTGTGTGTGTGTATGTATATACTGGTGATTTTACTGTACACTTTCAGTGATATGCTGTACGCTTTTATTCTGCTGATTGCAATAAAATGGGAGCTGCACAACTAGATGTTACATAAATTTACCAGTTTCCTATATAAATTTAAAACGTTCTACGGCTAATCGTTTTTGAGTTATGCTAGATGCATACGTACGTACAGACGTGACGAAAAAAATCCATTTGGATTCCATTTTATAACCCGTTTTGGATAAAGGTGTCCTCTACTGTGCTTATACGTATAGTTGCCTCGCAAAAAAAATTCTTAAAATGGATTCGGGAATGGTTTCTGAAATTTATCGCGATTACAATGAAGTAAAAATGAGACAGAATTCAAGTTTCGAGAGTTTATAATTTGAAGAGGTAGTAGTAATGTTTTGTGTACTTGCTGTAAACAGAAATCTCCACTTACAATGCAAGCAAAAAGCTAGAATCGCTCAATATTGTGTCTTACCACATGCTGTCTTTAATGCAGAGCCACTGCAGAGGTTCTTTGCGTAGCAACTAAGTTCTTTGAATAGATTTTAACTACTATATTAAATACATTTTTGGATTTATATCTAGATTTAAATGTTTATTTCGATTTATATTCTTATATAGATCTGATGAAAATGAAGTCCTTCAAAAATCTTTGTTAAATTTAATTAAAAATTTTCATTTGAAATTTAGAAAGAAAATGATGGTGCTCCGGAATTCATCGGTCTGCCTTACAGAGCTCATGTAAAAGAAAATGCAGTTGGTGGTAGGTATTTAACTGCTCTCTTTACTTCAAAAATTGATATCAGAATTCTGGTAAAGATTATATGCTTAGACCACGTGCAGTAAAAAAAGCATTTCTCTTTCCATTCGCAATTTTGCGTTTATCTGTAAAATTGTTCGTTTATTTCCCTTCCGGGGCAGCAAACTAATACTTCTCACATGTCAGTTTCATCTCCAGTCTGTTAGTTTTTATCTGCTTGTTTCTCATTTTATTTGAATGTGTCTCTTTCTTAGATGTATTTAAAAAAATACTGTCTCTCTAACAGTTTTCCTAGCTAGTGAGTACTTTCAAATTTTCATGCAGCATGCTTTGCTAGTTTTGACAACTGCGTATTGGTCAAATTACACAGGGTTAGTATTTATCTGCTTATTTACTTCTTACTATAGCATATACTCTTTCTGTACCATAACAATAGTGAATATTTAAACGGGATTTATTGACAAATGCAGCTGTAAGTTATGTTGCAGCTCAAAATTGCAAAGTCTTCAATTAAAATTAATGTTTCATGACATCTGTCATTTGTTTCGATACATTTTTAATTTTTAGATTAACCTAATTATTAGGAATTAGGAATAACTATTTTCCGTCGGTCGAAGTCAATTGTTTTTATTGCAGTTGAATATCAGCTCATTGTAAAATGTAAGACAAAAAAGGGGGGAGAGAAATAAAGGTTTCAAGCAAAGATTGAGTTGCGATTATCTAGTTCTTGATGTATCGAACGAAAAACAGAAAGTTGCAGAAAAAGCAATAAGGTTAGCTGCAAAAATTTAAGTGCAACAGGAGAACCATATCAGGGTTATGGGTTATTCAATTATGGCAAAGCACACGAGGGCTATCTGCCTAAAGGGAGGGATGCCTTCGTGGAGGACTTTCTAAGGGAAACTAGCTCGTATACACTTCAAGACTCTAGAAACGTGCTTCTGGAAATTCTTAAGAGGAATCTTACGCTAATGTTGGTTCTTTGAAATAGCCAAACTGTAGGTGTAAATATAAAGATTGAAAATCTGAGACATATTCCTCTTAGCAGATGAAGCACCACAGAAACAGTAAATAGTATTTGATAATATTTCTACACAGATACTGGATAATAAGTTTCTGTTTCTTCAAGAATTTATGCAGGAAACATGAAGCACGATTGCTCCAATAATTTTAAGCTTACTCGTGCAGGGAAAGCTGTGCTTCGCAGCCAAAGATCCTATCAATAAGTTTAAAATGTAGAAAGGAAATTATTGAAAAATCCAGAAACTATTTGAACACTATAAAAATTAGGAATAACTTTTTTAAATATATTGTTTAAATCTAGTTTTCTGATAATTAATGTTACGTTCTATATTTATTTTCTTTTGCTGTTATTGTTATGAGACAAATTAAATTCATCAACTTGTAGAGACATTATATTTTTCTGATACTGGAGTCGTGAAAAATGTTCAATACCCTTCTGGGGACTCCAACCTGGACCCCTCGAATGCGCTCCGAGTGTGCTACCGTTACATCACGAAGGCATGCAGGAAGGAGGAAGAAACTACCTTATATACTTCCCCTTATAAAAGGCGACTCTAGATTAAGAGACCCAGTCGCCAAATCCTGGTGGTGACGAATTATTGATCACCACGTTTTAGTTCGGGCGTCATTGTAGAGACATTAGGTTTTTTTTTTTTTTTTTTTTTTTTTTTATGCTGGAGTCATGAAAATGTGCAGTGCCTCTCGAAATGAGCGGCGAGTATGCTACCGTGACACCACGAAGGCATGCTGGAAGGAGGAAGAAAATATATTATAAACTGCTGCTATTATTATAGGATAGAGGGAGTACTACTTATGATTAAAAGTAACTATAACATATTTTGTTACTAAAATTGTTTTCGAAATTCTTATATTTCGTTCGGTCACCTTTTTATTTTTAGCATTTAAGAATACTCTTGGGAATATTGGCCGCTGTTTAGGAGTCGTAGTTTGATTCTTCCTTTATTTAGTTCCTCAGCAAACATGCCTATTTACAGCTGAAAATTTAATTACTTCTGGGCTTATAACAATACATAATTTCCACTTGCATTCTTTTTCCATCTACATGTCTGTCTGTCAGCTGAATTATCTGTTTGTCTGTCTATCCATTTATCAGTTCACCTAGCTGTCTATTTGTCTACCTGCTTGCTTACCTATCTGTCTCCCTGTTTATCTGTTTGTTCATCTGTCTGTGTATTTATTTGATCATCTAGCTGTCTATGTATTTATTTGATCATCTAGCTATCTATTTTTCTGTCTGTTTATCTGCGTGTTCATCTACCTATCTATTTGTTTATCTAGCTATCTATTTGTCTACCTACTTGTTTACGTCTTTCTGTCTGTTTATCTAGCTATCTATTTGTCTGCCTACTTGTTTACGTCTTTCTTTCTATTTATCTATCCTCCTATCATTCTATTCATCCATCCTTACTGGTCGATGGATCGATCGATAGGGCCTTCGCTGGTTGGTGTAATAAAATAATTTTTATTATTGCTTAGGTCTGTATTTATTTATTACTTCGTCAGTGCTTGTAATCTATGCTGCATTTAACTGCATTTAATTATTTACGCTTAATAATAAAATTTTTTCAGGCACGAGTGTTATAAAAATCGTTGCTTCCGATCCTGATGGACCCGATGCTGGGATTCGATATTTTATCCACAGTGGTGCAAAAGACAACTTTATCCTGGATCAGAAGTCGGGATTAATCAGTGTGGCCCCTGGTGCAGATTTGGATCGAGACTTATACGGAACGGAGTACAGTATACTGGTGAGTTTTACACTTAAAATGTTTCTTTACAAATATACGGAACTTAAATTTTATATTGCAACTCATAAATTAGCAGTTGTTTTTTCGAGTTAAACCTGTAAGCACATTTAAATTAAAACTTCCACTCTTTCAAGCATTTAAAGGATAACCGTATGGGTTATCCTTAATATATATATATATATGTATTAAAGCTGGTGACTTTTGCTTGGGATAATAAAAGATGCGAGTCTTTAGAAGTTTCGCGGTTCGCGGTGATGATCACAACGTTTTTCAATGCCTCTCATATAGCGTCTTTTTCTTCCTTAGTTTGGTTCATTGGTTCAATCCCCATTGCAAAATCAGGCAGTTCATGTGCTTTTTTAGTTGGTCTTCATGTGCTTATTCGAAGTTAAAAGCGCTTTAACTTCTTCCTTATTTTTGCTTTCATTATCGGCTGGTGTGATAAGACGATCCAATTCTTCATTCGTAATTTCACTATTAATTCTCTAACTTTTTCTTTCATATCTACAACTTCCTTCTGTACGATTTCTATAGCTTTATTTTCAGTCGATAGAAATCCTTTAAAACTGGTGATGGCTTCTGGTCAGACTGCTAGACTTTGAGAGTAGAGTGGGATGTTTGAGAGCTGCATAGCGCTGGAGAATACTCGTCTGTCTTTGGTTGGGTTTCGGTCTCTTTGTTTCGGTTTTTTCATATTTTGGGGTACCTCGGACACCCTCTTTAAGAGGCCACGTGGTCCTCTCCACAAAGAAGGCACAACCGTATTTCTAGAGAATTTATTTCAAAATTTGCGCAGTACGTTGTTGCCAATTTTTGAATCATAAATATTTTAAGCTGAAGTGTAATTCGACTTAAATATGCCCTCTGCTGTTCAGTGAGAAAAGCTGATGATTTAACGTTAAAGCAAAATAATTTCGTTACTAAAATATGAATTCAGAATATAACTACTTTTTTCCATGTCACTTGTGTAAATATTGACGGAAAAATTCATAAATTTTAGTAAATCAAATTTTTCCTTAAATTAGTTTATCTTTAATAAAAGGTCTGAAAATTTGAAAGATTTAGTTCTCTAAAGTAATTGCCATCTTATAATTTAAAACTTCTGTTGTCCTACATAACAGCAAATTTGATGTATTATCAGAAAATATTTGAAGTTTACATTCATGCATGTTTTTTAGGTCCAAGCAGTCGATTCTGGAATTCCTGTTCACCAAACGGCGTCTGCGACTGTTCTGGTTTCGGTTGAAGATGTTAATAATAAACCACCAAAATTTCTAGAAGAATCTTATGTACAGTACATACCCGAAAGTAAGTAATTTCTTTTTCAAAACAATTACGCGCTGCATATTTACTCTACCAAATATTAAATTAATACTAAAATCAATTAATGATGGCAGAATTAATTTAATTTAAAATCCTTGAAATTTCATAGAAAATTAACACCTTCTCGTAGAAAACTTTTTTTTTAACCTGCTTAAAATAATAAGCAAATGTAAATACAATTTTAAATGTTTAATAAGAAAAACTTTCTGTTATTTAAGAAATTCATACTAATATACATCCTAAAAAATAAAAGGGGAAATTTTAATTTGGAGTATTTTCTATTTTAAAAGTGGTTTGTTTGAGGAGTAGTCCATCCACCTGATGGCGAGTGGTACTTTGGCTTAGTTGTGCTGTTCAAGTTATACGCACAAACACAGCACAGACACTAAAGCAGAATTCCCAGTTGATTGATAATTATTGATGTAACTCATAATCTTCCTTAACAGACTTCTCGCCTTGTCAAAATTTTAAGAGTAGTTTAATTTCAAATTTTCTGTTTTTTTGATTAGGTACAAATATAGGTGAAGAAGTTTTAACTGTCGAAGCAAGTGACCCAGATGAAGGTGCCAAATTAAGATACTCTATCGTGGAACCCATAGTTGCTCGAGATAAAACCGGCTCTTTTGTAACATCTTCGTCGTATAATTACAAGGTATTTGAATCACATAAATGTCATATTAGTAGTATTACAGTATTATCTTCGTAACCCAGTTCTGACTTTTGAAATATTAATTCCTTGGCATTTTTTCGTAATCTTCGGAGCAGTATCAAATTGATGTTAGTTAACGGAAAATTATATGTAAAGCTCATCTGTGTATATCATATTTACAGGCAGCCTTCAGAATTGATGGAACAACAGGGAAAATTACGGTTAACCAACCACTGGAGTATAATTCTGCCTCTGTTATAATCTTAACAGTTGAAGTTGTTGATCTCAATGCTGTCGACGTTACGTTTGGCAAACAGCAGAAGGCATCAGGTAAAAAATGTTCAGCCATTTTTACTTCCTTATACAAAGGAATCTAGAAATACTTCGCGTATTATATTTCAACGGTAATATCCATTCTGACAGTTCCAGAATCCATTTTGCCTATTTTTGTATGACATCTGTGCACCAAATACATATATATATAGGCTGCAAAGGATTGAACTAAAAACAATTAGTACAAAAAGAAATTATTTTCTTAAAACATTATCCTATCATAAAAATTGTATAGGGCAATTAGTTTGTCTCTTGTAAAATGGAAGTGACAAAATAAAGGCTGGTTCTTTTAAAGGGATGATATAGCTAGAAAAATCTAATAACTGGAGTAACTAATTAAACTAAAATATAAAAAAGATAGTAATAAGAATAAACCTATTATCCACCATAATGTTTCAAGCAGAACTTTTTTTTTTTTTTATTTCCTTCTTCATGACATTATGCGACTCAAACCGCTGTTAATTAAATGCTGTCGTATTCAAATTAATATTTCTAATAGTCTTATCATATCAAGAACTACCCCTACATGCCCTTCGTTAACGATCCCCCTGAGCCGGCTTAAAAGGTGTTTACCCGGCCGTTATGTTTGCAAGCGTTGGTCGTATACTTGCAATTACAGAAGCGTGTTAAATGACGAAAATGTTCATGCTTTGGCAATTTCAAGTTAAAAATAAATTAATTTTGGACAAATAACGAACTTTATTTTTTATTGCGGTCTGCCGGTTCATATACTTATATTTGGGAAAGTTTTATATTCGTTACGGAAAAATAAAAAATACAAGATGTTTGACTGCCATACGATAAAAAATGGCTGGCATATTTAATTTCAAAATTTGCGATTTTTGATGTCATTTTCAACTAGCTTTGAGGTATCGGTTGATTGTGTACAATTGAACAGACGTTTATAATTTTATAAACTAGGCATTGATGATCAACGTATGAATATTTATACATCGCATTCTACTTTATACGGCAATACATGTCGTACTTGACACATGAAATCTTTAGAACAACTCATACGCATCGGATTTCAAGCATAAAACATTTATTATATAAGCACAGTTTATACTCATTATTATTCTTATTTTTTAGTTGAAGTCACCATTTACGTCAGAGCCCACGGAGAGATGAATCCAGTTTTTTCTCCACCTTGGATTCAAGCTAATCCTGTTATTGAAATAACTGTGCCCGAGGAGACATTGATAGGCTCAACACTTCTAACTTTATCTGCCAGAGATCCTCTAACTCATGCAGTCGTTAACCATTTTGAGAAGATTTTGGGATCAGATCCTGACAATTATGTCTCTGTTAGTCCTGTATCGGGTATGTTTGCCAAAATTTAATTCTGTCTTTAAAAATAAGATATTATCACAAGTAATGGATTAAATTTTTCAGATCACTTTGAAAATAATCGATTTGGAAATATTTAAATCTGAATTTCAGCCATCAGTTCTGTAATTAGCATACCAAAGTTTGACGTTAATTTTGTTTTTGAAGTAACTACGTGGGCCCAAAACTGATTTAGTAAGTTTCTTAACAAACAACGGTGCAAGAGAACGTAGAGCTAACACAGTATTACCGACTTTCCGTGGCATTTGATCGTGTGGGTAATCGTATACTTCAACTTCGAAGCTCTGTGATTCAACACTCATTGCACTCTAAAATATGTGCAACAAAAATGTAACCGGGGACGGACTAAGACTTTTAGAGGCTCTAAGCACTTAAAAGTTTTTGGTGCCCCCATTTATGTTTACCCCACTTTCTTGGTTTTGCTTTAGCTGCAGCATACACGTCATGGTAAAACCAACATTGGAAAATTTTCTAGTTTTCCTCTTTCCTTGATGCCCTAAGGCGTGCTTATGTTGTTCAATGGTTAACCCAGCCCTGAATGTTGCAATGTACTACTTTTGAAAGACAAAAATGCAATCCATGGTCTGAAACTTTGAAAGGTACGGATTGTGTACTTCCAACTTTGGAATCTTATTCGAAGTTATTGCACTTTGCAAGTATGAGCTTCAAAAATGCTGAAAAGTACTCTTGAAGAGCAGCAACTATAGTTCCCACCTTTGAAACTTTGCACTATAAAGTATTTTCTCTTTTCTTTCTGCATGGCTTCGTGGTGTAACGGTAGCACACTCGGCGCGTATTTGAGAGGTCTGGGTTCGAGACCGGCGAGGGCAAAGCGCATTTTTCACACTCCGTGCTTTAAAACAACTTAATTTTTCTACAGCACATTCAGGTAACACTGTACTTACAACTTGCAGTTCCCTGGAGACACAGCAAATAATGCTGTTACGACATTGTCGGAAATTTTATAGACAATTGGACAACTTCGAACAAGCTTGCATAGTACGAATGCATAAAGAGGGCTGGTCATACAGAGCAACAGGCCGCCATTTGTACCGTATGATCACGATCGTGTAAAGGTACTGGGAACAATGATGCTACATGGTATTAATTAGCGAAATGAAGGCCCTGGAAAGCGAAGGTGGACGATTACGTGTCAAGATCGTATGATCGTGCGGTCCCCAACGGCATTATTGTCCGCTATCCAACTTGATACGGCGTCTTTTATACCACCCGTGGCACCTTCTACCATCTAACAGTGTTAGGCTGAGGCAGGGCTACGCTCACAGCGACCTTTAAGATGTCTACTTTTAACCCCACTACATTCATAGAGTCCTCTGGCGTGATGTTGTAGGCGATCATTATGGTTAGTAGCTGATAATCATCGCATAGGTTTCAACAATGAATCCTGTTTCGATCTTGGAGCAGATGGCTATCGAGACCGTGTGTATGGAGAGATCAACGATCTTAACAGCCAATGCTTTACACAAGCACACAATCACTACCCCTGGTGTGGTCCACCCTAATCATCAGCATAGAACTTTGCAGGTCCACCCTAATCATCCTGCATACAACTTTGGCAGCTCAAGAATATGTTGATGACGTTCTGCGCCCGTTTATATTACCTTTCATGGCAAGCTATCCTGGAACCATTTTCAACAGGATAATGCTAGACCTCATATAACTCGCATATATCTGAACTGTCTTGCTGTTGATACACTTCCGTGGCTAGAAAGTTCAACAGAGCTTTCCCGAATCCAACATGATGGGGATATCGTATGGTGCCAGATGCGAGCACCCAAAATGTGTCGCAGATCTAGCAACAGTTCAGCAATGCCTGGCAATATGTATCGCAGGATAAGATCAGGAATCTTCATCACTCATAG